TAGTATAGTAGATTATCAGTTGTATCTCACGATTTTCACCCCGAATCTCCGCGCCGTTAATTAGACTGCAAACAGTCCGTATTTTTGCGTATTCAAGTTTTCGCGCGTTATGCTACACTAAAACGATTTTGAGAAAAAACTGACTGTTTTGCAGTCTACCGAGCTGTATAAAAAAATGAGAGACACTAGAGACGAATCGGCAAACGTTATGAACTGATGGGGCAACCGTGTTGATTTTAAAAAAAAAAAAAAAAACGAAAAAAAAATAATGAGTATGTAGCGAGGAATTACCCCTTCTTGTTTTCCGCAGCTTGATACTTCCATTCAAATTTATTGAAACAAGTATATGTAACTATCAATTATCGACTGTTCTCATACTCATTAATAATTCATAAAGAAAATACAAAGGAAATTAACTGTTTAAATGACTGGGGAAATCAGAGGAAAAACTGCTTATTTTTGCGTCCTTAATTTCTCCTTTTAAAATCATTTTGTATGAGAAGTAATATCAAGCATTTGACACAGTGTTTCATCTGGTGATGAAACAATGTGTCTCATGCTTGATATATCACATCAAGGTCTGGGACAGCGTTATCATGCCTGTTTATAATTCTGAATTTCATGAAAGACCACTCCGGAAGCAACGGTCTATTATTTTTGCTTAAATGTTAGAGGGGACGCTGATGGCTTATATGAAAGGCTGTGTTTCAACATTACTGGCCAGTGTTGGAGGATTCTCGTCTCCGTTGGAGCTGCTAACGTTGTCATTGCCAAGAACACAGTAATAATCATAATCCTCGCAGTGGACGCTGATGTACAGTTCATCATCTGCTTCTAACATTCTCTCCAAATCGTTTCGCAAGTCTGTAAAGCTTGGTCTGTCATCTGGATTGGCTGCCCAACAAGACATCATAATCTGGTACCTGTAAAGATCACAAATGGCAAAAAAATGTTTTACGCACGCGCCGGTCTCTACAAAGTCCCCCGCAGAGCTCACACGTTTGACTGCGCAATAGAGAAGAGCACTGGGGTCGAAAATGTACGCAAAAGTGCCGATGGAAAGCTTGTGGTTTCTGACCTCCCTGAATGAAAATAAGATTTTATGCGAGATTCTTCTTTGCGACGATGGAAAGGGTGGCTGCTATTTTTTCTCTTCCAAACGTTTATTTATTTATTACCGGTACTACAGCAAGATAGTATTTTAAAGGAGGCTCGCACCCATTTTTCGAAGGTCTCATCCCTTCGTGTTTGATGCTCCACTGATAACTTTGTCTGTGAAGCACGAAAAAGCCACACAGTGAAACAGCACATCTAACATTAATCTTAATTTAAGAGTATGTTTTGCTGACATCTCTGCCCCTATAGCAACAGAATAACAATGAGATGACATCTACAAATTGGGCATTTTCGGCAAATCTACTATATCAAAGCAAAGCTCTCGTTACAGTGCGACTAGTCTACTGTAACCGGAGCCACTTAGACTAAGGTTTTTGAAATATAATGTTCTAAAAACAGATACTTTCATTCGCTTTGTGGCTTTTTCGTACATGCAACACAGCCAAAGGGATCATCAAACAGTACACGAAGGGGCGAGACCTTGAAAAATGGGTGCAAGGCCAATAGTGATCTCTAGATTGGAGCTACGAGTACGAGTTTTCAAGCCGCTTTTGTGTGTCTCATATAATTCGAATCCAGCACTTATCGTGACACTAATATCCCAAACTGCGCTAGTCTGAGTAACAGGAAAGAGTAAATAGATCAAAAGATATAGTTCGAGGCTATTTTTTTGGCGTTGTTATGCGGGTGTGACGATCCAATGTGTGCTGGTATTTTTTCAGTATGCCTTTTTGTTTGGTACGCCGTTTTGATGAGTCGCAATGGCGAAACAGCTGTGTCAACGCCACCCCGCTCTGTTTGGATCCATCGATGCCGTGTTCATGTCTTGCAAAGTTACCTTTTACGTGGTATGATCAGCTTTGCAGATTTTTGTTTAGTAAATTTTTTATCCTTTTAACTGTTTAAAAATCTTTTGTATTACATCACATGATCGTAACAGCAAAAAGCTTTTCTCCAAATTCAGAAATCTGTTCACTTACACTTGCTGGCTGCAGTTTTCAGGTTTCTCCATTCTGTAGCCGTTTCTCAGCAGCTTCTGGATATCTCTCCCAGACACACCAGGATATGGTGAGGTACCTGGTCAAAGTAGCAGTCTATAGTTAAAAAGTACGAATGCGTCTTCTCGGAGAAAATGGATCGCGCAAGTTCAGGATAATGCGAGATAATATTATTAAAAATGTCTCAGTGTTGGGTGAAAATTTGCAGAGAGGTGCTCCTAAAAAGTTAATGTTTAGTAGCCCAATTTTTTTCTTGGTATAATTTTTTTTCAGTAGATCGTGCCTTCATTCATCAAGGTTTGTAGAGGTGTTAGACGTATAAATGTTTGACAAAACGATCAACACTAGATCAAGTTGAACTATCAGAGCGGTTCAGTATCACTGCAGAACTTACCAAGAGTGATAAGCTCCCACAACACGATTCCATATGACCACCTAAACACGGGCAGACACTCAAGTATCAGTCTATATATCGATATATAACATTATAAAGATGCAGAATCCTGCTCATTCCCCGGACAGATTAAAGAAAGTGCGTCGAAGGCTTTCATTTTAACTTGGTATCCGATGCCTGATCTGTATAGTAAGATGATGACAGCAGAAAACGAATTTAAGACCTCTGCTACTTCTCAGCGTCTTAGGTTTTTATGCTGTCCAACTGTGACCTTAAGTTCGTGTAATCTTCCACATATCCGCGTGCTGGCTTCCGTATCCCCCGCACTGATAAGAATTCAGGCAAATCTCTAACAAAACTGGAAAACTCAAGTACGGCCAATGCATCGGTAAACCAAATACTTGATCCCTCAAGATCTCGGTTTTGTCACTTTAGATACACCTTTTCTATCAGCGGGTGCGGATATAAGTGAACATACTCTTGTCGCCTATTTATACAAAAGATAACCATGATTTTCTAACGTTCTCTATGTTCTACCCGGTAGCCTAGCGGTTTCGTTTGTGTCAGAGGCAATCTACCCTCATTTACGGTTACAGGTAATTTACCCGTAACGATATATCTTGAGGTCTCTATTAACACTGAGCGTACTTCTTTTTAGCTTAACAGTGAAAGCAGCCTTAACGTGGCAGGCCCACGAAAGGGTGGGAACACTTAAGGTGTGCCTAACTCTGGTGCCCTTTCCGATCTTCCCTTCTCCCCCTCCCTTTCATTGGCCTTTCCCAAAAGCTAAAAGACAAGACGTAACTGGAATTAAAACTAAGCCATTACTTACACATCGCTTTCAATGGTATATATGTTATCCAACAGTGATTCCAAAGCCATCCACTTGATGGGCAGTTTTCCAGCGCTTTGTGCCTTTTGGTACTCGCAGCTCTCGTAGACGTCCCTCGATAAACCAAAGTCCGATATCTTCACTAAATGGTCGTCGCAAACGAGAATATTACGAGCTGCAAGGTCGCGATGAATAAACTTTCTTTGTGACAAATATTCCTAAAAAAATGAGAGAAAAACATGAGTCACTTTAAGCTGACTCTATAATTACTTGACAAATATTGCTAGTAAAAATACTGTACGTATTCGCCATCGCTTGAACAGTAGCCGTCTGGTTTGTCTCTAAATTAATGGTCAATTTTCTGTTATAGTCGCTAGTGATAAGTTTAGTGGGGCAGCGTGGCCGATTAGTGGTTAGAGCGCTGGACCTGTAATTCGGAGGCCCCGAGTTTCGGTCTCGCTCAGACCGCTAGCTGGATTTGTTCACGAAAGTCCCCAGTTCAAATCCTCGACCATGCTTGAAAATAGCCAACTGGTATGCCTCCGGCTAGTTGAGATTCTTAACTCCATTAAGTTTGAGGCATTAGTGTTATTTATAAATACTGCTGAGGGTAAACAACGGAATTACTTATTATTTATTTATTTACACTGAAAGCTGCATTTACATATTTTGCGATTTACTTATCTTGCTCAGACACGCTTGATTGGTGGATAATACAGGGTGCATTATACGTTACCATGCCAACGGCAATCTGTCGCGCGAATGAAAGCAAGTCTTTTTGAGTTAGTTCTTGTCTAGTGTCCTCATTGGAATTCTTCTCGCTGCTCTCATTTGTTGCTGAGGAACCTAAAAGAGAGGTTGGTTTCAATTAAGGGGCCTGGCTCTTGCTTTAACTTAAAAAACGATACGTATTGCAAAGTGACAAACGTCTTTAATGCAAAAAATGAATGAAGGAGTCAGTTTTTAAAGGAACTACGGTGTTACGTCGGTGGGGAGAGAAAAAAAAAAAAGATTTGGTTGTAACAAGAGAGAATTACAACCTCTAAAAATAACTTGGGTGAAAGTGACATATCCCGGCCAACGTCATTTGAGATTCTCTAGTTTCTCGTTGCTCCCGCCCCAATCTCCTCGCAGTTTCACTAACCTCGCCCACCTTGGCTTGTTTGCGCGCTCACGCAAAACCGCCATGGCGTGACGCATGCTATGGGTCACATTATTACTGTGAAAGGTTTGAACCCAGGAGTCATTTCAAAAGTAGGTTGAGTTTGATCTTTCGGGTGAACGTAGTCCTGAATAGGACTGTTGTTGTTGACAGTGACTGACGTTTTGGCAACCTGTGCGGTAGTCATCTTCAGTGTCAAGACTCTAAACATGGTTACCGCACAGGTTGTCGAAACGTCAGTCACTGTCAACAACAACAGTCCTATTCAGGACTACGTTCACCCAGACGATCAAACTCACCCTTCTTTTGGTCCCATTATTCTCTTCAGTTGTCGTGATAACCAGGCAGTTTGGCAACCGTAGGGAGATAGAAAAGCTGAGGGTTCGAGTGCTAGCCTTGCGTCAGAGCTTTGTCAAGGGGGGTGGGGGTGGGGGTTAGCACTCGGAACTGCAATTTCTTTACCTCCCTACGATGGCCAACCCACCTTAGCAACTTGGTTGACATATACAAATTTTTGCACTTTTTAGAACAAATACCGTAAACAGCCGCTTAGAAGTCCCTTAACTTATAAGCCCCCCAATTATGGGCACATTAACCTGTAAAAAAAAAAAAAACTGCTGAGAAGACCCCCCCCGGATATCAGCTCCTTCTAACTTGTACTAGAATGAATTCGATTTTGAAGCTTAAAAAAGCGAGTAAATTCAAAAAGTGTTTTGCATGGTTTTGATCAGCAATGCTGTTCAGCTTGTTCTGAAAATCTTTTTTTAGTCTTTATTATAAGCCCGATTCAGATATAAGCCCCCCTTTTTATAAGCCTTGCTTTAAAACCCCATACGAAATTGCGTAAACCCAGGGGCTTAAAATGCGGAAGTTTACGGTTGCCTACGTTATCTCCATGATCTAGAAGTATAGAAATTACACTTAATTTGAACAACTTCTCGATCTCAGAAGGGATTCCAACCTGGCGACTGTTGAGTTTTCTTTGAGAAAGCCTTCTCCTGCAGTTCCTGTGTCGTTATTGCGGTAAAATTAGCCATCCATGGGGTGCCGTCTTGCTCCGCTTCTGAGCTACCCCAGGGGTTAGCCCTTGGGTCAGCGTCAGTAACAACGATACAGATGTCATCTCCCTGGAGGCTATCACCCCCCTGACTTGAACTGCCTTTGCTACCTCTCCTTGAAAAAACTGGCGTTGCGTATGGAAAAAGATTCTGAGCAGGAAATGAAGGCGATGAGGAACCGGCTTTTCGAGGAAGTTTCAAGCTGGAGCGAAACTGTTGCTTCGGGGAAGTTTTGGGACTTGATCCTTGGCTCCAGCGACGATGATTGAGGTACTTCCTTTCGGGAGATGGTGTCTGCGACAATTGGGAGGTGGAAGGGCAGGTACAGCGACCAGTACAGAAGCATTGACTATAAGAGAAAAGAAACTAAGGTATAATCAACTGTCTCTTAGGAGCCGACCATTTGACTTTTCAGGGGGCTTATGGGTGATTTCAGAAAAAAAAATCCTGCAGACTGATTTGACAGGGGCAAAAATCGTGCAAGGAAATACGAGAAATACAGGAACGTATCGCGGCCTATAATGCGGGGGAAAATGTTACACCGTTATATGTCGGGGAAAAAATTCAGATCTTACTCAGTCCATATCACTCATACACCCCTTCAAAAGTCAAATGGTCGAGTCCTTTACTGACATCCCTAAAATACGAACTCCTCCTTGAATGAGATATTCAAAGCTCCCTCCCCAGTCTTCAGTCCTTTTATTTGACCCTCTCTGATAAGGCGGACACTCTCGCTAAAACGGACACCTAGAGTTGGTCCTTGGCGTTGGTCAGGCAATAGAGAGCTTTAGGTTCTGAGACGAGGACGACTACTATTTCTAAATTCTGAGTATTGCTCAGCCGTGAACTAGCGTCATTTTGGCGGGAAAGCGTGAGATAGCCGTCGTCATTCTACTACGAGTTTTAGCGAGAATGTCGTAGTGGCGAGAACAAGTTATCAAATGTAAGAATTTTTATCTCCCTCTCGCACTCGGCTTTAGAATTTTACATTGCTCCTCCCCCTGTAAGTAGCCACTAAAGACACTAAAGGCATGGTTTGATGTGTATGTTCGTTGCATGTAATACGTACACACCAATAAGAGAGTGCGATGTTCTTTCAGTATGGAACTACGTTTGCTTGTCTGGCGCGTCGTAAATAATACGCTCAAGTTTTGTCTCACGTTTCTAATATTGTTATCTTTCGTGAGACGAAACTTGAGTGTCTTATTTACGACGCGCCAGACAAGCAAACGGATTCAAATCCCTTCCAAAAAAACTCATAAAGACACAGGAACAAAGGTAAATACATCTTATTATTTTATTATAATACAGCGTAAACACATCTAATTTTTCTATTAGCTAATACAGCGTTCGTGTTCCCTGTGTTCGTCTTTGAAGATAACCTGGTGCGTTGATTATCGTAAGCAACCTTCTGTGGTAAGCGACCACTAAACCTTCGCATTATCGGAAGTTTACGGGTGACGAACCATAGGGATTAACATTTAACCTACCTACTATTATTCACCAGGCTGTGACTGCTTACAGCTACTCGAGGGTTTGAATCCGTGGTAGAAACTATAAATAGGTAACACAAAATTTGAAGGCCTTTTATTGATAAAACTGAAAAACCTCTTACCGTGCGGTACTTTCCTCGTTATCTATTGTTTTACTTTCAGCCATTTCTGTGTATCAATTTCACACTTCTGCGCTTGCACAGAGACATGAGGATTTTCAGCCTGCGTAGCATGGCAGTTTTGGTTGGGCGCGCTAAGCAATAAAGGCGGGCGAGGGCAGATAAACCGCGAGGAGATTGGGGCGGACATTTTTCTCGCGGCTTTGCTGCTCGTGCGCCCGGCTCGACAAAACCGCCATGTTACGCAGGCTAGCGGATTTGAGTTTGATTGAACATCAGTCTAGTCTTAGATTTAATTTTTAATGCGATTTTATTTGTTCCATCCAAAGTTTTGGGTGTTTACATGGTGGCACGAGTTCACACAGGCTTCCTCCCGTAGCTCTGCATTGCTTTATTTGATACAGTGGGGACAGAGTCTGGTAAAATTCAATTATTCGCTACAAAGAGCTTTCGTTATATCGAGGTTTAACTAGGGAGAAGAATGTCGTCCGTTATACCGAGGACTTCCTTATATTGAGATTCTTTATTCTACGGAACAACCGCAGTAGAAAATGCCATAACGGAACGATCCATAGCGCTGCGAGTTCACCCAGGTTGTTGTACCAGCGCAAGAACTCTACTTCCGCGCGAAATCTCGCAACAGTATCATGCAGAAGAAGATTTACTCACCGTACGTCCCTTCAGTATTTTCGGAAAAGTAAGGTTCGTAGCCGTCGCTTTTCTGTACCTGTAGACAACTTCCTGAGAACGCTTGCTGAAAATATACAATACACATATTATTATTCATTTGTTTGAAAACAAACTTTTCCGCAGATGCTCGCACGATCTAAGGCCTCACTCACACGTGCCGGAATATTTTTGAAAACGGAGATTTTTAGCTCTGTTTTTACAAAAAATACGCACCTTACACGAAGCGTATTTGAATAGTCTTCGCCCGTCCACACGAAAACGCGACAACGATGAAAACACAATATTGTTCCTTAATAATCATGCGCAGTGCTTCTAGCACTGCTATGTATACATCCTCAAAAACGACAAGACGGCATTTTTAAATATTTCTACCTTTGAGACCGTTTTCGAAAACCTTCGTTTTTGGTGCCCGAAATCGCCGTCCACGTGTGGATGGAAGGCTAAGGCCATCCTCATAAAATGTTTCGTTTCCCATCGCCCGACCGACCATCCGTATTAATGTCGGACGCAAAGTGTAAGTTTAAGGTAAGCAAAGCTACTGCGCATGCGCTGGAGATGGTTGTTTTACCTTGAGCTTTTTCACTGGACTTGGACTTTTGGTTCCTTTTCCTGGCAGTCCCTTCCGTCTGTACACCGGGCTCACAAATCCACTCGGGAGGATAAAGTGAGGGTTGTTTTTCTATAAAGTAAAGGCCATTTTTAGTTAAGCCGCACAGGTTATCTTCAGAACCTGTTACAAATCAAAGCATGTATTTGTAATACGAGAAAACGCAATTATAACATTACAAATCCTGTCTCCTCCTCAGGCACTTTGTTTTTCGCACAGAGTCGAGCGCGAAACGCGAGTGACACGCGAGTGACTGGTGACGAAGCGCAAGGGACCATGGGAAGGAGAAAAATGAGAGGTATTTTTACTTCCCGTCTTCATTTGCGCGGAAATTTTCATCGAAAGAGAGACGTCTGGAGGCAGCTACAACTCATGCTCGATCTGGGTTGGTGGATTTGATTTGGAGCAACTCAGCCAATTGAGCGCTAATTGATTCTTAGTTGGAATCGGCGAAGACCAAATCCATCAGCAATTTAAGCTTTCTTTGGGCCCAGGGAAAATTGGTATTTCGCATGAAAATTTGGACTCTGAAAAACAAACTAAACAAAGACCTCCCGCTCGGCAGGCCGGCGCTTATCCAATTGTCGGAGCTAACCGGACGGCGGTTAGCTCATGAGGTCACCGAAACGTCGAAACATTATTTCGTCAGTTTTATGATTGTTTATGTCAAAATTACGCGCCCTTTAAGTGTCCCACCAACCTTATCCCGGATACGTCTGAGGTAGGACCTGAGGTCACCATGAGGACAGTACTCTGTAATAAGACACATAGGACCTCCTGTGGTCACACAGCCCAGAATGCTGACAATGTTTAGATGTTTACCAATCTCCTTCATCAGGGTCATCTCTGTGATAAAGTTTCGTCGATCCTCCAGGCTTGCATTTGCTGGAGACAAAGAACTGTTTGAATCGTAGTGACAGATAGATAGAAACTGAAATGTTCTCTTTCATTCCTCCCTTCCGTTTTCCCCTTGCGAGAGTTGAGTGGGGGAGGGAATATGTCACTTTAGTACACGCTACGGTAGTGGTGTTAATTGTGCCCCCTTCCCAGGTGCTTTTAATTTTACTCTGAGTACCAGAGACTTTTCCGCTCGTGGCTTCGGCCTTAAGCTGAACATCTGTCTACCTGCAGCCGACACCGAACCATCCAGCCGCACGCGAGAAAAAATCTTCTGGTAGGCAGGGTAAGGTGCTCTTCGCTGTTTTGCCCTCTTTTTTGGCCATATTCTGTTGGCTCATTTGGCAAAGCACTAAGGCATGCAAGCTTGGGAGGAACAGGCGGGTATAGTTAAGATTCTATTAAAGGTGTGACCAACTTTTGTCTGAGTCCTGTGACATCAAAAGATATCAGCCGCAATCAAGATTTCTGTTACAGTTTATGATGTTCTTCTTAGCTGGGAAAAAACATTTTTTAAGAAAGTACGGGTAGTTACCTATTGACTCAAGAAGCAGAAACCATCTATAAACGAAATTTTTATCTGGTGTTATAGTTTTTACCAGCGAAGCTCCACAGTGCACGCGAGCGGAACCCCATAGCTAAAACCAAAAATTGGTTATCTATCCATCCGAGAAATTTTGGTAGCTATGTAACCAACCGTCCGTCCGTTCGTCCACTCGCTCGTCCACCCATCCACCCGTCCGTCCGCACCATAGGAACTCCAACAACAAAATTGGTTATCTATCCATCCGAGAAATTTTGGTAGCTACGTAACCGTCCGTCCGTCCGTCCACTTGGTCGTCCACCCATCCTCCCGTCCGTCCGCACCACAGGAACACCAGTGTGAAATCTCACACTTTCTACATTGTGTACACGTGGGAGCCTCCAACCTGATATTGAACGTCGATGTTGTGGTCAATTGACAACTGTCAAGAAAGGTATCTGCTGACCATTATCACATGATAGTACCGCAGACTCAGTTGTCGACCCATAGAGGTTACATGTTTTCTTGAAGCTATCCGCTGACAAGTTACTACTTTTCAACTGATCACAGCCTCAATTCCTAGTGAATTTCTTTGCAATGGTTACAAGTTAATAGTGTGAAGTAAATCATCAATCTTTCATCGTTAGGTTCGCCTTTAGCCTTGGCTAAATATATGCGTTCAATATACTTGGCATGGGGGACGTTAAAAAGTTGTGAGGTCTCTGACCTTTTAATTTCTTGATCGCCACAGTAACCTCTCTTTGCGAAGGATATCCCGGTAAACCAGTTACATTTGCCTTATGAACAGTGCCAAATGCACCTTCTCCGATCTGTTTACCGAACGCGAGACTACTGTATTCTACTTCCCACTCATCAGGTTCAATGATCGGAAGGGCATCTTCTGGTAACAACATCCTTAAAGTGAACAGAACAGATTCGTGTTAAACTCACGAAATTAACTAGGAAATTGAGTAATTTTGATTTTCAGTGGACAAAAACCTTGTAACGTAGTAATCTAAGGCATTGCATTCTTTTTTACATTTTTCAAAGGCTAAAGATGTAATCTGTCATCTGTAATAACACCAAAGAAAATTTCTTATGGGAGCCCGAGAAAAAGAGTGTCAAATTTCACAAAATTACATCTTACACATGAATTTTTCGGAATTTACTTGTGTTTTCACAATTCTTGTGAAATTTGACATTCATTTTTTTGGATTTCTATTTAAATTACATCTTTAGCCCTTAAAAAATTTAAAATAGAATGCAATAAAGTAAATTATTTTGGTACAAGGCTTTTGTCCACTGGTAATTAAAATTATTCAATTTGCTGTTGGATTCCGTCATAATTTAGTTTGGCTTTTCTTCAAAGCTTGTGTCTCAGGATTCAGGGATAAAAATAAGGCCTTGTTCTCATGCTACCAGACGAATTTTCGACCGGTTAGAAAACTTGGCCGCAGACTTTGTTCACAGGAAACTTTTCAGTGTTTTTGCTCTGTTAACATGGAACTGTTTAACCAGGTTGAATTTGTCAGAGGTTCTAACATCTGCTCATAAGCAGAGCGCTGCTTAAGCAAACCCAAAAATGGCGTCTTCCAGTTAACACGCATCATGCGACCACACCTTTGCCTTACAAACATTTAGACGGTTCTGGTGTTTAGACTACTCTGGTCTTATTTTCGACCAAACCGGCCAAAAAATCTCAACGTAGCCTAATGCCCAATTACTTAAATCTACTCGCAAGTTAACATACCATAATTTTTTTTTGGAGAATTGCTATCCTCCCCTCGATGTGACGCTAGTTCATCACAGGAGGATTTTGGTGGTAAACGGACGGAGAGGGAAGCGAAGGGAGAAGGGGGAGGTGGATCGGAGGGGGAGGGGGAGGGGGAATTAACAAAAGCAATACTTACAATGCCCTTCTCGCTATGTTATATTGGACCTGCATATGTTGGACGGCTGTTGACATGTTTCCGTATTTCCGCTTTATGAAAAGATAGGCCAATGCAAAGAAACCAGCGATACCTGCTATTACTACAAGTCCCGTCACAAGAAGGTACGGGGTGTCAGTAGTTCGTTGTTTTGTAGGTGTGTTTTGAACGTTCTCAACGTCTTTGGACGGAGGATCTATGGGTGCAAAACAATGATAAAATACCACCCTTTGTTACCTCTTCAAACCCTGATATCAGAATGTATATTCTACACAACGCTAATACGTACATTTTGTGTTGAAAAAATGAGGAGAATTTGTTTAACATTCAAGACCTTTTAAAATTGCATATCGTTTTCTTTATTCTCATGACTTTTACGTTTGATTGAGCGAGCAGTGTAGCGGTTATTCATACGGTCTCACACCTCATTGGTCGACGAAAACAATAACTTTTTATTGTTTATCATTATTTTCATTGTTTCATGGTAAGGGTAGTAAACCAAGGACAGATTAGACGCTGGTCTCTCTTTTGGTAGAAAGGGTGAAGTATGTTCACAAGAATCCGAACACAGTAGTTTCGTACCTTAGAGATTTAACTTGAGAAATATTACGTTAAGGAGCTGACACCTTTTTAAGTGCAGTTATCCACGAAATGGTTTAGAAAACGTGAAAAGAGGGCGTTTTACTGTTCCTATGTAGTACTCTATTTAGAAAAGACGGGTCAGTGAAATCACCACCAGCTTATGCAGCTTTCTTTGCAGTAGAAAAGCCAAGTCAGAAAGTTTTTTAGTATCATTTATGGCAGACAAGTACTATTTAACTACGCCAATATCCACATCAGTCTGTTAATATTGTAAACAAATTCACACACTCACGGCCTCCATCCTGGTGCGGATGTAGCCTGCGAGCAAGGTGTCCATTTTGAGAGACGAGCAAGGAAAACCGCGATGAGGACACGCGATCTAGAGGTTTGTAAGTCTCCTCTCACTCTCACCTCTCTCTTTTCGCGTGAGTAGTTTAGTATGGATGTTTTACTCCGTTTTTCGGTGGAATCTCATTAATTTGCGGAGGAATACATTAACGCCGATGACGTTATAAAATAAAATTGGGAAGAATCTCATCAAGATGAGATCATGTGCGATTTTAGGTTGTTTAACCGGTATGAAAGCTTTCAGATAGATGATATTATTAGTTTGTTTTAAATATTTTGCGTCTTGTCTCTCATTGGTCTTGATGTCATTTGTGACCCAAAAACATTAAATCGTAACATTATTACGCACAAGGTCTATTTACAGCCGCAAAACATACATATTTATTAGATAGAAAGCATATTAGCTCGTTCTAGCACATTAATGAGATTTCACTGCCAAAAACGGACTACTATACTACTTTCTTGCCTGTCGCTCGACACTTCTCACAATATCTATTTAAAGGAGAGCTTGCTTGCAGGCTCGTGCGGACGATGAAGTGTAAGCTGTCATCGAAGAGTAGAGTGGATAAGTTGGTACGTGGATAATTATCATTCTTGTTCATAAAGGAGTGTGCGCATAAGTTGGAATATAGCATAATTCTTTGTTTTCAATCCAGTTACACCCAGTCTTGTACTAGCAGCCACAATGAACCTTTACCTGACGTGTTGAAATGTAGTATTGCCTCTTGCCCTTTTCCGGTTTTTGATGATACTGCAGAAACCTAACATAAATTAAAAGGCATTCAAGTTAAGTGCAAGTGATAACGGTGGAGTTGACGACAAAAGCGATGTTCGTACGATTGTTCGATCAAAACATTTAATCGCTTTCGGCTGGTAAGTCCGTCTTCCCTCCGGTTCTAAAACAAATTTTCAAAGAACGTATGGTAGCACGAAACAAAGAGATCTTTACCAGAATGATATTTCTTCGTGACTGAGCCCGGCCGGTAATTTGGTAAAAAGAAATTTGAGTTTTCCCAACAAGTGTCTAATCTATGACCTGGTTACCGAACCAGGTGGTTTCTATTGAAGTGCACTTTTGCAGGTTTTAAGCTCAATGGGGAAGAAAACTGAGTGGCAAACAGATCTTCAGCATAAGAAAAACAAACAAACAGACAAAGAAACAAGCAAACAGTTATAGTGAAAATGGAGTATCGCGGGGCTTATTCAAAAATAAGCAGAAGTTAAAAATCTATAGAATTTTCTCAAGAAAAAACATTATCGTGCAAGTTTTATCCCTTCCTTCCTTACCGCAAATTTTTGGTATACCCTTCTTATAGGTTACTCAGTAGTTGGCATTGTAAACGAGCTTTTTAAAAGGGACTGTCTGGATGATTACAAGACACAACAAAACTTTCCATGGGGTGTCATTATTATTTTTTGCTTTTATCCATATATCATATAATTTTACCGTACCTCTGACTAGACGACGTCAAAGGAGTGCGCGCGCAGCAGAGAAACTTACTTTAAAGACATAAGGAAATCCATTGTGAAGATCAACCAATTGAAAGCTGGTGTTTTCCTATGAAGGTGAAAAAAATGCGTTTTATGATGGTGATACATAACATATATAGGTGGTGAAAAACACGTCAAAGTTTTATTTCCAAAGATTTTAAAGGCAAAAAAGGGAGCTTAAGTAACGACGACGGCGATGGCGATGGCGACGGCGACGGCGACGAGAACGACAAAAAACAATAGGTTTACATTGGCAAAACAACAACTTGGCACGTGCATCACGCTTTTATGTACATTTCCTTGCCGTTACAGCACGTCTACGACGCGAAACGATACTTTGTTTTTCTTTTTGTAAACTTTGATACAGTCCCTGCTTAAGCTCCCTAATTTCTACGAGGAAGCTGCATGATCTTGCTTAAACTGAACCGACTTGCTCCAACACTGCTTTTAAGTCTCAGTTACTGTTTACAGCTCGTTCAAGGGTTAAAAATGGAACTAAAGCAACGATGACTTCATAGACTTACAGGCGGCAAATCTGTGGTTTCAAAATGAGGTTTAGACTTTTGTTTCTCTAATATAGGGACCTTTCTCCACGACAAGCTATATCCCTGGAAACCATCTACTGACGATACATTAAGAGGCGGTGACCATGTCACGTTGGCCGTTGATGTGTTGTGTGACAGATGCGTTACATTCAGCAGTGTCAGGTTCTGCGGTGGTCCAAACACTGTGAGAATACAAAGAAGTCTAATCACGACATATCTTGTACTAGTAATAACCAAAGGTTACGGAGTGTCTTCAGACAACGATCAAAAGTCAAAACGCTTTTGCTCCAACACTGTGGTGTGCTTTGCATAAGTTTCACGGCATAGATAATCCAAACGCGTGCGACCAGAATGCGTTCTGTCCATTATATTCATTCTTCTTGGAAGTCCAAACGAAGCTGGCTACATACGAGCCGTGAAAGCGTAATAGCAAACTGGAGATTATTAGGATTGCGGGCTTCTCTTGTCACCCACAGTTATCGTGAGAATACTCAAGTTGCGTCCGACATTGCCGGTAAAGACCTGAGATAGATAAAATTTAGGCCCTTTTACTCGGCAAAATTGATTCACTTATAAAGCGTCCAATCACAATGACTATCGTCACGATACAGCAGCAATGTCTTCTTAGAACAAGAGAGAATAATAGCTGGTCTGAAAATAACTTTGGTGAAGTTCACATATCGTAAAATTCCGAAAATAAGCCCCGGGGCTTATATTTTTGAAAAGCCCTTTTTGAGGGGCTTATTTTTGGAGGGGCTTATATTCGGAGGGGCTTATCTAAGGAGGGAAATTTGCGTTTCAAAATCGATAGGGCTAGCCTTACAGTTGGAAGTAAATTTATCGTTTTTGCTTTGTTTTACTTTGTACTTGAGGGCAATTTTCCAAGTACAAGCCCCCGGGGAGCTTATATTTGGAGGGGCGATTTAATGGAGGGTTTTTTGCGTTACTGGTTTGGGGGGCTTATATATGTGGAGGGGCTTATACATGGAGGGGCTTATTTTCGGAATTTTACGGTATTCCAAGGGCTAGGATGGGTGTTTATCTCTTGCTTAATTAGAAGCTGTAGCAGTAATACTGACAAAATAATATACTTGACCCCAAGTACTCACCGCAAATGTAAAATCCAGTAGCGTTGAAGCAATCTACGAAAAAATAATTGAATTAAAAGACAACAAAATTAAATTATTTTTGACTAATGAGCATCGCGTTACTCAAGAGAGTTTCCTGTCGACTTTAGTCACCCCCGCTAATTATGACGTCTCTAAGGAATGCACCTGCATTGTCAGCAAGGGCGATAAGTTGAGATACGAAGAGGATGACAACGACGACGTAAAATACAATTGAACAAACCCACAGCTCTGCACGTGCATCACGCTTTTTAGTACATTTCTTTGACGTCCAGTGCACGACTACGACGTGAAACCTGAATGCGATGATTTGTGGAGGGCGTTAACATAGAACGACCTCAATTTTCCTCTTTCTTTTTGAACCTGGATATAGTCCATAAGCTCATATTGAAACAAATTTTTGTTAAGCCCGGGTTTAACGGCTTAAAATCAGCTAAGCTCATGCTTGCAATTGTTTTAGAACGTAAAAACAATAGCACACTAATAATAATGATATTAATAATAATAATAATGATAATAATAATAATAAGAAGAACAACAACACTTGGTATGGGAATCAGTTTCCTGTCAATCGCAATACCTCACTCTACTGTGCGAACGATATCAAAACTTATAAATGGAGTGATTTTACTGTAAAACCATGACCTCACAAGGAATAATTCTTATTTAGTTTTTGCCAGTAATATAAGCACTTACCCAAGGAGGGGGTTTCATAGTACACGACAGCACCTTTCTCTTTGTGATCAGCAACTGAGTAGACCTAAAACAGAAAAGAAAAGCTTACGAACAAATCCAGGAAAACGTATTTAACCGAATTAACTCATGCTCTGGTAAATCAGAAATGTTCATTTTTCCACCTAACACGGTTACCATAGCAACATCCTGTATATGAAGTAAAATGTGGTGATTGTCAAGGGCTGTGAATGGGCTTACTACTATGCACTACCCTGCCGGGCTTACTCCCCTACTATAACTCTGCGGCTCGATGAAATATACTACTTTAGAAAGCAACACAGGTTTGTTAATACAAATTTAAATATTAGGCCTGGCTCAGACGCCGTACTTTTCATGTGCCGAACCTAACTGAGTAAGTTTGACTTTGACTGATTCAGACGGCGCACCGTGTGTCGAACCTAAGTTAAGTTCGACAAAATTTCGACAGACTCTGTCGAACTTAACGCTTTTACGCACCTAACTAAAACTGCTGTACCAAATTGATTTAGACGCCGCTCTCTTGCCGTACTTAATTCATCAGTTCGGTTCGGCGCATGAGTGGAGCGGCGTCTGAGCCGGGCTTTAGTTGTCGCACATAAGAGATATACTTACTTTTATTGTATAGTTTTCTTTTGGCATCATACCAGTCATGACATATTGGAGTCTGGTACTTAGGTGTTGCTGAAGAAACAAAACATCACGTTAGGACTTTAGATTTGAATGCAGCAGCGCAGGTTTTCCTATGTAAGATGAAATTATAGACCCGTTTCAGACACCGTTCTAACTGAATCAAATTTAGGCTGACTTTCCAGCCAGACTACATTCATGTTCTCAGCTTCAAAATACAATAAGATGCAAAATAAATATGTATGTATGTATTTCGTCCGGCTCATGTGAATTGCGGTGTCTGAATAAATACCGGTCCACAGCTGTTTTTCCAGGTTGAGTCAGGCCTGAAGAACTGATTCTCAATACTTCAAACGCAGTACTTCACAGGAACTTACTTTTTAAAAATTCACATAATTCGATTCGGCTCATGTGAAGTATGCCGTCTGAGACAAACCTTGCGAGTTTAGAACTCATTTGTTGGGTCAATAAGGATAAAATAATTGTGTAAATAACTTCCTCCTTCTCAAGGTGTTTGGTTTATCGCACGTTAGTGGCAAACAAAGGCAGCGAAACACGATTGACCGGTGACGAGCGCAAGGGAGAAAAAAGATAGGCGACGCACCATCTCGCTCATTTTCTCCTTCCCGCCTTTTTTATCTTAAAAAAGGAAGCATTCTTGATCACGTCACGTGATTTTCAGGGGTTCCTAACAATAAGAGCCTTATTCCGCACTAGCAGACAAAATCAGAATTGTCTTTGAAACATCCAAACCGAAACTTGTATGGTAACAATTTTTGTTTTTATCCACACTGGAAACTATTTACTCTTATCAGGCCGTTACATCTGACAATACTTGCATTTGTTAATGGCGACACAAAAAATGATTGCCAAGAAAAACACATTTTTGCTTATTTAGTCGATTTTGTCCAAGTTTTATTCGGGGCAAATTTTGCCCGCGGCGCCTTTGAAGTAGACTAAAGATTGTCCCATCTGGGACAAAATTTGTGAAATCGAGAGAAACCATTCGCATTTGTTAAGCCTTGGTGATGACAGAAAAATTGTCGAAATAAACAGCTTTTTCGCTAATGCGGATAGACCCTAACTTACTAGTTATATATAATAACAAAAACTAGTTATAGCTATCGCTAGGTGCCAACGAGCAAAGATTTTACCTATACGCGTGCGCTGTTCAATTTGTTTAGAAATATCATGAGTTACCCTTCTACTCTATTTCAAGGTCGATTCTTCCGGGTAAAATTGTTGAGCTATGTCCTCGGTGTTGCTTTGCGGCCTTATCACCCCATAAATCGCCAAAGGTACTCTAATATATAATCCTAGATTCTTACGGATTCCAGATCCCAGATATTCCAGGTACTGGATTCAGGATTCTTTAATTGTCAGTCAAAAATGGATTCCGGATTCAAATAGCTAACGAAACTCTTTATTCCTAGAGCTGAATTTCTGGTTCCAAACCCCAGGATTCTGCAATCCGGATAACCTCATGTCGAATTACAAAACCGACTAGCTGTATTGTAGCAAGAATTTCTTTGCTACAGTTAAAGGTGGTTGTCTTGCAAGGGCATATTGATCCCTCTGCATGCATGGTATAGCAGTTCACAGTACACGCAACGCGTGCATATGTATTGATTGGTTGCTACATTACCCGCATCATTTGTAGTGATTACCTTATGTTCATTAAATATATATTCTTCATGTCCTCTATCGTCTCCGTGCGTGGCGAGCCAGTGAATGCTGTAGTGACAGGTTTTGCCTACGATGTGTCCATAAATAGAAAAATGAAATTACGTACGAAGTGGTCAAGAGCATAGTCTTGAGTTTTATTCTGCCAGGGGAGAGGTTAGGTACTCCCGATTCTGAATGACGGGGATGGTCGAATGGGATCAAAAATCAAACCCCCAAAAAATCCCTAGACCAAAAACTACCCCCGAAATATCCGAACCTTACAAATTTCCAGAAGGCATCATATAATATAACACGAAAAATAAAAACAGAAATTGAATGTTTGCAATTGTTTCTTAATTAGTGACCCTCATATCTGCAGTTATTATACCACGAAACTTCAGATTGTTTCGAATACCCCCAAAGAATCCCGACTTAAATCAGGCCACCCCCAAAAAAATACCTGACACATTTTCCTACCCAAAAAAATTCTTTGGGTAGTAGTATAGTAGGCACCGAATTATCCTTTCTTGCGCATAAATCTCATTAACTTGCGCAAGAATACATGTACATTAACGCCGATGTCGTCGTGGCCTTTTGTCTTTATCTCATGACTAAAGTTCGTTAAACATCGGAAATTGAACATTCAAAGCCCGTTGAAGAATCTCAGCAACTGAACCGATGCGATTCCAAGAGCTATTAAAATGCTATAACCTTACTCACTCCCCGAGATAAAATATCAACTAACGCCCGACTTACAGGTAGCACATCCATATGATTTTTCTTCGTCTACCATGCATTACTGATGGTGCCGTCGGAAATTGGGAATTTCGTTTTTTGAGGAGAGAGGAAACCCTGAATACCAAGAGAAAGATCTCTTGGAGAAGAGAAGCAACATTTACAACCTTAACCCACGGATGACGCCACTTCCGGTATTTGGACCCAGGCCACATTGGTGAGAGGCAAGCGCTGTCATCACACCGGTACAGCCCTGCTTCCCTTGATTGTTAAAACTTAGGACAAATCAGTGTGTACAGTTGTACAGTTGTGTGTGGAGTTGGGTAAGAGGTTGGACATGTCGTTTTTGATTATTGGCCTGCATAAAAAATTGACGCAAATATAAGTTTGTCCAAAACATTTTTGTTTGATCGTAGCTTAATAATGTAATCACGCAAATTTGCTCACTGTGAGGTGCTAAATTCCAGCTTAAGTGTCCATGGAAGGTAGTCCCATCTGGCGTGAATGAAACACTTATGTTCCTAGGAGGATCCAGAACGTCTTTATCTGAAACAATAAAAAGGGAGGATTCCCGGATGGTAGCTTTTGTAGTGTACTGAACCAGGCCGTAATGTTTTAAAGCCTACATAGGTAGAACAGATAAATTATAAGAAAGATTGAATGATGTGGTTGAACGCATAATCTGACATTGCGTCTTGTTAACTATTTAGAAACGAACTTGAGACTTTCAGATTGGGATTGTACTCAGTTTTCTGGCCGTAGCCCTAAAACTACGCCATATCGATCTGCTGTTTTAAGGGTTTTATTTAAACAAAGCTTAACAGAAAATTTGGTTTTAATTTTATTATTCAGGTAATCGAAGAACGTCCTATAAACAATGGCCTTTAGGGTGATACGCGTATGCAAAATGTGTATCAAATTGGTATCAGACATCCACTTTGACTTTATTAAGCAGTTGAAATAATGGTGCCGTCAAGTTAAATTTTGAATGGAACGGTTTCAGACGTTTCAATCGAGTCACTGATTCTCAAGAGCTGCAGCAGTATTTATTTTCTTATTGCTGTGGCTTTGCTTGCCTTAGTTTTACCTGTCCGCCTTTTGATACGGAGTTTTACTATTTTGTTTCTTTGTTCGTTTATTCTTCTCTGATCTCCCTGTCTTTGGAGACGTTCGTTCTACCCCGACGTCCAACCTATTTTCGAGAGCAAAGATACCCGTTTCGTATACGGCGCGTGAGTTCCACTGGAAAATGGTAACCCCTTTCAAATATCTACTTAAGAACATTACTTCCCTTTTTATTCATGAGAAGTCATAAGAGATTGGCCCCACTTATGAATAAATCACTAAAGCAAGAAGTCTTCTCGTTGTTTTGATGTACCTTTAAGAAACTAAAACTGATAATTCAGCCATAAGGTGGGTTTGTTGGAGGTCCCTGGAAATGATAGATTTCACCAACCTTTCTTAATACTTCAAGTTATGAAATTCCTACCCTTTTATATACGTAAAGCCTGAAAAATGTACCTCTTTAACGAGGAGCCTACCATCGGCCATGGGCAGTATCCCTCGGGTTTGATTTTTAGGCAAGCGTTTGCGACGCCAGGGGGGGATAAAAACGCACAAGAACGTAAGGTGCGCAAGGACGAAGCCCTTTAAGTGCTTGCGCACTTTAATCCCCCCTCTCCCTTCCCTTTAAATGCCTGCCAAGCCAGCTACCATTCTGGAACTCACCACTTAGTGTTGACATCCATTCCCCTCGGTATGTCCCCTGTAGCCCTTTTGAAGTTACCACAGAAACCTCTACTTGAAATTTGGTACCAGGGTGTAAACGAAGCTGAATAGGCACCTCCTTCGTCTGTAGATTTATGTGAATAATTAGATCAGGAGTTAACACCCTTGCCAAATTTAACTTTATTTACGCCAATAACGTGAAAACAATAATGACACTATTCTCTTTTTATACGCACACGGCTGGCGTACTACGTAGTAATAACTGAAGTCTACAGACAATGTCCAGAAAAATCATTGTCGAGAGGCAAGAACAGAAACAGGGTTGCTGAGAGGAGAGAATTTGACCTTAGTCTGAGATTAGGGATTCCCGAGGGTTTGAAACCATTGGCCTGTTAAGGACGAAAGCGAACTTCAAAACCTAAAATTCCTATCCTGTATAGGACATATACAACAGCTTTTTTAAGGCCCTACTGTTACTTTACACAAGGATAAACCTTGTTTAGGAGAACCTCGCATTAAATCGTGCCCCTTCTTTAAGGACAGAGAAATGAATTAAAATCCATGTTTTGTCCTGCGATATCTCCCCCATATAAAGTACCCCCCTTCCCTCACCCTCAACCCCCTGCCACGAGGACCGAAGCAGGCATCTTTTTAAATTCAAGACAAGTGTATACTCATAACGAAATAGAAAAATCCGATCACAATTTTTTTCAATTTTTGTGAATAATAAATGTTACTTTGGGACTGTCAGATGTACGTATTTTACGTTTTTTGACACATCAGCCGCTTAACCTTCGGAAAGCTTTAACACAGAACAGCAAAAACTGCGACTCGCGCGGGCGCTAATCTAACAATATTAATCAGATCTATTAATTTGCTGAGAGTGATGTCCCCTGTTCTTGACAAAGACAACTACAGTCAAACTCTGTTAATACGGACACTGAGGGTGTTTATAGAAAGTGCCCGTATTAATGGGTGTCCGCATTAAGTGGATTGCATTTCGGGAAAATGTAAGGGCTTTCTTTCCCCATGGAAACAGCAAACTGTCCGTAATATAATGAGGTGACCATAAAGCGGGGGTTTGACCAGTGTAGTCTGAAAAGGGACCACAGTGGTCTGGATCCGGTTCGTGTGCACCCAACGCACCTCTTTAAGGGGACTGTCTACGTATGGTTAATGATCTTCATATTAGACACTTACTGGCTTATCAAATGTATTCCATTGACCTTCCCAAAAACGCCACCTGAGAACGAGGAAGATGGGTTCAACAGCAGGAATAAGATTAAGGAAACGAAATTCGAAGTTAATAACCAGCCAATTTAGGGTGCGACAAAAAAGATAAGGGCCTTTGACTACTGCTTTTCTTGTATCGTTCATGCCGTCAACTGCAAAAAATAAATAAAACAAATAAAATAAAAATAATTAGATAAATAAGAACATCTAAATTACTCTATGGATAAAGACAAAACTCTGTTATCAGCGAGGCTGTTGTCATCAATTTCTTTTACCTACACAGACTTTGAAAACTAAATAAAAATAAATTCTACATTTTGGAGAAAATGATAGTTCAATTATGTCAAAAGAGGATGGAGGATTAAGTTTCAGTAGTTTTGCTGGATTTTTGAAAACATGCATCTTGACAATTAATTTGAACCAGTTGCCGTTAGAAAAATAGGCTTAAATACGAGTTCATTTTCATTGCAAAAACCCTGAAAAAGAGATTTTAAACTTGAAGTAATTAGTAACTGAATACTATGGAGAGAGGTTTAGGAATGAAAAGGACGAAAAGATTAGAGAACATCATGAAGTTTTTCACACCTGAATTCATTATGCGATGATAAAATTCGCATCCTTTCTTGCAGGGGATTCCGTGGCCAGTCTGAAAAATAATCATGCCTTCCATGGGGAAAAATATTTTCCAACAGGAGAGAAGAAAAGAAGGTGCAGTTAACTGGGCCCAGTTTTTCGAAGTCCGATTAGCGCTAACCTGAGGCTCAATTTTAATCCCGGTTAAGCTTTCAATATAGCACGAAATAACTTAAGGACAGACTTCCTGGGTATAAGTTTAATAACTTTGAATGATAATCGGAGTGATTAATTGTCACGTGACCTATTATAGCTATTTTTAGCACAAAAATCAACTTGGCAATATGGCACCACTTTTCATTACTTTCTGGAAGTTGCCGTTATCGTCATAGTTATAAGACTAGTGGGTACATCATTTCTGTGTCCGGGCCTTTTAAGTTAATCTTTTAGACAGGAAGGAAATTCGAAAATCGTTTGATGAGGAGACTGGGTACTAGTAGAAAATTTCGTTTACTTACACTGTCAATAAATTTTTCAACAAAGTCCGGGCACAGATGTTTAGTCGTTTATCTGGGGACATGTTTGGTTGCAATTTCTTTGATTGTTTGCTATTATAAAATGGTGCCATTTCTAATTTACGTTTTTTACGCGCAAAATGGCCGTTCAAGTTCACGTGACCTAATTTATATCTTCTTTTACCCGGAATCGCATAAACTTTTGAGAGTCATTATTTTACTCAAGTTTTGTCGCTATAGGCCTTAATCCTCAAAATTTAGACCACCCCTCGACTTTTTTAGGGAAACTGAAAAAACACCCATGCCTTAATTTCCTTGAGATCAACACACCAGTAATAGATAGAAAGAAGCTATTTTTTGTTTCAATATCAGTGTATTTTTTTTTATTGAGTGGTTATTGCCAGAATTGGTCTCACCCTCTTTTCTAGTCTCTAAGTTTTTCCGGTCAGCCTGTGCGCCCTTTTAGTAAATGATAGTAGTTACAATCCGAAGCCAATTGTTATTGACCATCATTGATTATTTGGCTCTAATGTTAGAACTTACCTCTCTACAGTTCACTTCACATTTGGTAGAGTTTCTCTCAGCTGTAGAGTAAAATCCTTTCGATTTCAAACACTACAAGAAAAAAAGGTTCAAGAAATTAAAAGTGATAGTAGTTCTCAGTGCTCGAATGTGTTGGAGGGGGGTTTTAGGCATTTTCGTTTAGAACAATACCTTTTGTTAACTAAAATGCGCTACCGTTCTGAAATGTTATATACCCCGTGTGCGCCAAGTTATAGGACCTTGCATCTTAGGGGTTCAAAAAAGGATACGAATTCCCAGCCGAGAGCAAACCCCCATTTCAAAACAGAGAAAAGTTCGATGGGAGACGCCATTAGGATCGACCTGGGGGTAAAAAGGGATCGACTGCGCTCCACGGGACGCAATGACTGTGATTTCCAAGCCTACTGTATGACCCACTATAACTATTGTTACTTTTTTCGTAAAGTTTAATAAAAGTTAATCCCCTACCTCGTCACAGTTACTGCTGCAGTTGTAAGTTCTAGGAAATCCACTGTTCTGTAAGGTTCACATATATTTAAGACTGATTAATATTCATCACATATTATTGTACCTTATCCGGACCTTAATCCATCTCTATCCCTCAGGGGTGATTAAGCAGATTGAGTGCATGACGAAAGACGCCAGTTAGCCTTCTTAGCAGGCGTTAAAGGGGGTGGGGGAGGGTACGCACCCCAAGCTTATATCGATCGCCCCCTGACACGCTGCGCATAACTTCACGCGCCCTGTAACGCTTCAAGCTATTTTTCGCAAACTCACTCACAATTCTTCCCTGCGGCCTAGCCCCCAGGCGTTTTTTATCGGCTCCCAGTCAAACTTAGCTCCTTCCTCCGCGCAATTCAAACACGGGAGCAGAGATAAGGCCTTGGAAGTAGTATAGGCTGGGTTTAATGGGTAAAGCAATGCCGATTAACGCGCGTTTCTCTGTTAATTTGGCGCATTTCTATACCACTCTCTGGGTGCACCACAGCAACATAAAATAAGCAAATTTTCAGCTTTCGTAAGGAATGGGAAAACTTCTTTTCATTTCTCCTTGTAAACTTTGGCTGTCGAAATTTCTAGGCAATATTTGCTTCTTCCAACGAGAAAACAGTCGCTGGATGCACCCCTCTGGAATTACCGATAGTTTTTCATCCATTGAACAGCTTAATTGAGACAATGACCTGTCGCAGAAATGCATGAAGTCGTGGCAAACCACTTCTTTTGAATGAAAACGAGTTAAGACAATGCATTACGATTTAAGTTTTCAGAAGGAATGTTGTAGCTAAACTGTGTAAAAGTTCGTGGTATTTCATCAAAATGAGATCCAACCTGTCCGTATAGTAGTACTCCTTTTTATTCTAATTCGCTAATCGATATATTTTGCAAAAACAATTAGGAGTTTTTATGAAAAAGAATCCTATTTTTCTCAAGCTGGCCCCAATGCCCGGATAGCTTAGAGGAGTTGAACATTATTTGACGCAATAGGTAGACTTTAGACCTCTATAGAAAATACTTCTTTTCAGAAGTCTGGCCCTTGTAGCCTAAGCATTACTCATTTTTTTGTTTTTGTAAGTTGTTGCTTTTTTGCTTTTTCTCCTTTTTCTGCTTTTTAAAAACATAAATGTGAGGTTCTCCTCCTTAACTTTTAAACCCTTCGCCAGCCCATATAGATATATTCAACGACTACAAAGTTTCTGGAAAAATCTCTGCAGCGATTCCAGCTGTGTCAGAGCAGGAAATCATATAAACATGTTGTTTTCATTCAATATTGAGCCAAAAGTATATGGTATTGTTTATCAATAAAAGCCCACACACCGTACTTTCAAAAAACAGGAACTGTGGTTGTAGTGCATGTAATTTTATACCTTTTCTGATTCAAAAACCACCTCCGAACCACAAAAACCGCCTACGTCAACGCAATATAACCTCATAAAACTGCTACTCATTTTTCATGGCGTACTGAATGTTTTAAACGATCGAAGTTGGGTGATGGAAAAATTTCAACTTTTAAACGGGCGGCGTCAAGGTTTTCGGTGTTTCTTCACTGCATACGTTTACCTGGATAATTTTGCTTTCTAAATAGGCATTTAAAGATATCACCGTCGCCGATGACTAAACTTTTTTGTGTAAAATCATTGAGTCTTAAATAACTGATTCGATCATTTGGACATGTGGCCAGATCGCTCAGGACTTAACGGCATTCGTTCTGACTCTTTCTATTAACATCTAAGTATTAAAAAATAAAGGTAAAATCCCTGTTGATGTATATATACTTTTTCACAACACGAATTTCCATTCTTTGGTGATTATTACATTTGAGGAGTACTACATGTTGCAAGTGAAAATTGCTTTGTTCGTCTTTGTACAAACGAAAATTTTAAAATAATTTCCGGGACGTTTTCCAAAACGGAGTAAAATTAACAATAACATTATGACTAATCGATCTAAAACTCGATATATTACATATAAAATTCAGACAAATTTTCGTTTATTATTTATCAGAAGAGATATTCTGTACCCTTTTCTTTGTTTAATGTATTTTCGGTGATACAGAATGATTTCTACGATGAAAAATAAAGCCCTTTCAGTCGTACTGACGACAAAATCTTAGAGACCGCAAGGATTGTGATGAATTAGCGATATTTTTATACTTACTTTCCTGGCTAATGGTTCCCCGTACTGCAAAAAATAGAGCAAAAATTATTTCATACATCATTTGTTATTTTAGCGAAGACAGCAAACGTAAAAACCAATCCATTTCACTAATATACGAAAATGAAGTTAAATACGCTTAATTTAAAGCAAGATAAAATTCGGCAATGCATTCCTCACCTTCTCCTCGCATTTTACAGTCAGTTGTGCAAGCTTTACTACTTTATCATCAACTGAAACTGCTTTGCCAAATCTTGACTGTGCGAACACAAAAATAAAAACAAGAAATGTAGCCACCATGATTTTTCACTGGCTCCCAAACTCCGCGAATAAGATTGTTTTTTATGTTATTAGCAAGACTGAAAGAGGCCGAATGTTTTCGCCAAAATTTAACACAAACAAACTTAAAGGTTGCGACAGTTAGCCGCAAGACCGGCCGGAGAGATGTCTTTTTTGCAATTAGGTCGAAGAGCAATTGCCTCTTTACAACTTAGACCTCCGCTGTTTATTTTCAAAATGCCAGATTTTCTCCAAACAGATCATTTAGCGTTGCCAAATAAAGTGACCGAGAAACAAGGAGCTTTTTTTCAACTTTTCAAAGCAATCCTGACGTCAGTGCAAAGGTTGGCATTTCATGGGGCTTTTTGAGGCGAGCATTCTTCCGGCCTCTCAAATACTTTAATCACCAAATTTTAGAGTGAATTGTAATTGAAAATCTTTTTCATATAATTTAGAAATCAGGTAGTGAAAGAAACGGTCAGGAAATTTTACTGGTAATAATTGTTTTACCTCAGCTTTTTCATGACACGTACTTCCAGAGGTATCTAAATGTACATTAAATATTTTTGTCAGTAAATTTTAAACCGAAAGGATCAATAAGACCACCAATGTAAATTAAAGCAAGTAGGTTATAACAACATCTCGTCACATTTGGTCAAGGTATCATTAATTAACTATTAGTACTAAAAGCACAGTCAATTAGTGATGTTTATGTGCAATTTTCTATGATATTCTGACAAATATAATGCGTGGCTCAAATTAATTCAAACTGTCAATTTGTCATGCAAATTTAATCAAGGTCAATTCAGGATTGGGAAACCGGTTTGAATTTGCACGCCGCCCGATTATGATTCTGGTAACTGAAACATTCCGCCTTCAGGCATTTAAATTTTTGGGGAATTGTATACCGCTTATTCCGCTCCAAAATCTGCTCAGGCAGCGTAAATCGGTTCAAATTCTCTGTTTAAATATTTGTTGTAATATTTATGGCAAATGAAGACTTAATGAAAAAATATTGTAATATACGCCATGTATATGTCAGAGGACTTATATAGCTAGATGCCTGTGCGACCTGATTCCGAAGGAACGCTTTAATTTGTTTCGAATTTAGCTTTTTTGCTGGTGAGTTTCTGTTTTCATTTTTCTGTTTTTTTTTTGTGGCTCGATTTGTCCTTAGTTTGGATTTCATTTTCTTTGATTTCAAACTCAATCATTATACTAAGTTTCAATAAAAAATACCCCAAAGATTAGAAACGTCACCACGACATAAGCATCAAGCGTTCTGTATTCTGACCCAATTCTGCTAAAAAAATGAATATTCTTTAGGCCAAATTGATACAATAAGTGCTAAAAATTTTGTAGGCGAAATTATGAAGTCTCCTTGGCATGACAGCAGATCGAGTAATTCAACAGTATAAAAAACAACTTCAATCTGAACAGACCCACGCGTAAAAAAGTAAAAAATGCCGAGCAGTTTATTTTGAAGTTTTCCTTTTAGCAAAAATTAGTATGATCCTTTTAAGGATGTTTCATTTTTACAAAAAGAACAATACTAAAACTGAAAATATAAATTTTTATAGTTTGCTCAACTGTCGTGACAAAGCACTAGTGGCTTCAGCATTGAGGCTTTAAAAGCATTATTAATTTGAATTTAAGTGTATTCAAGAGCAAACCTTTCTTTTGGATTTAAATGCAGACTGTTCGGATTTTTTAACGGAAATGCCCCAGTATTATTAACGTATAACTCTAAAACGCAGATTAAGCTTTTTATTTTATTTCACACTCTGTGAGACTTACCCCAGGAAGGGCTAAATTAAAATGAAGGTTTCCTAGTAAATGATCGAGAATTAAGGCCACACCTAAGTAAGCAGTTATATCCGTGGGCGCATTCATTCGAGACTCTGAAAATTCCATTTCGACGGAAATGAACTTTATCTGCCCAAGGGCACTCTTCAATAAGCCTCAATTGAAAAAAATGTACGGTTTATAGGCCATAGATTTTTGATAATTGCTCCGTCGTTGTAAATGAATTCGTTCTGATCGTTACAGAAATTAAAGGAAGATTTTTCCATTTAACAGAAAATGAACAAGTAGGGTAATTTAGAGCAATTTTATGTTTGTGATAATGCAGAAATGGAAAAAATTAAAATCTTTTTTGTCAGATTTTTATTTCTAAAATTTCTGACCTCTAATTCCCTTTTGCTCACAGGTAAGTTTGTATATATGTATACACAACTTTCTCTTTTTTTTTCTAAAAAAAAATAGCGCTGTAAGCTATCTATATATTTCTTGTTGTGGGAGTGCAAGGACATTATTTGTGTAACAAAAGGGTTTCCCTATACGGATAGACAGATTATAAGGGAATAAAATCATGAATTATAAAAAAGACCTACTGTCTGCATCTAATGACCAAAGCTTTTTCAGAAAAGGGTTTCTCAGCTGTTTCATTTTTTTTTTCCTATTTAGTATACACGAGCCCACCATCTTGGTCCTAAAATAGCCATGTTTATCCCCTCTTTTTGTTATGCAGCCATATCATATCCTTGATAATTACAGGGGACTAGCATTTTGAAAAATAGATTGAGTTTTTTTTTCTAACACAGTATTTTCTCGATTGGGTCGTGGGTGCTTCAAAAATTGGATTTAAAAGGGGGAGGTTTAATAAAAACAATAGTCAGAAGTCATCGGACAATGCCAACGGTTTTTTTTAGCCCGAAAAAGAGTTAGTTCCAAATCAAATTGTGACGGGTTTATCGCACATGAAGTTCTTGGAAAAACCAAAAGGGCACTAGGGAATTTTCTTTGGTGTGTGTACCTCAAATCTATCTTCACACCAAGGAGCCTGTACTACTAAAAATGGAGCGTCCACATCTCATTTTTGAGACCGAAGTTTCCAGGATAGTTCTTATAGATAATTAAATGTTCGCGTTAAAATTTTCTTAACTAATCAGAGATTAGTAGATGTTGCAGAAAAGGCGGATAACATAGGCGAAGAGTGAACTCGAAGAGTGTTAATAATAAACTGAATAAGGACTTTGGCGCTGAGGACCAAGAAACCTCTCATGATGTTGAGAATAACTTTCCATATTGGATTGAGTGGACAATTGTGGACACAGAGAGGTCTGAAAAAAAAAATGAATAAAACGAAAATTGCGCGGCACGGAGCCTGCGTGCAGGCTTTAAAAGGGGGAAGCCCAAATTCCCCCTTCCCCTTTTAATGCCTGCCACACAGGCTACGCGGAACGCCCTGGGTAGGAGCCGCTTTGATAATCATGGCCAAGTGTACAGGCCTGTAGTACGGTGCAAGGCAAACGATGGGCTCTTGGGACGAAAATGGCGATACTTTAGATTTTTCCCGCCATACCCTTTCATACCACATACAGAATAGTTTGCTGTATTGCGAACACTCTTCAACAAATGAACCGAGACTAAAAGACTTGTAGGTTTCCAGACTGCGACGATTATTTAGCTAAAGAAAGTCGATGTATGCTACCCCTGGTTAATGAGCTCGTCTACTAAACAACCAAAAAAAACTAGTGAAACGGCCCCACCCTTTTGCATACCTGAAGCCTACTAAAAGAGGTCGCCTTCGAGCGGAGCCTCCCGTGTAGGCCATAAAAGGGACCCTCTCCCCGGGACCTGATGTTGAGTATTCTCGATATAGATTTCCTCAGTTTTAACATGGTTAAAAACGTTTGTTCATCAGGGACAAACAACCGGTTGTCGCAAAACTTAAAAACCCCTTCAGTATCTTTTTTTCTGTGGGCCTAAAAAGGAGCGGCCACCAAGGGAATAAGGAGCGGTTACCAACTCTTTTCAGGGAGTGGATACCAAGCGCGGAGGATTTTGTGCACGTTCTATGTTTTGACCTACAACTCGAGGAGAGTTACAGGAGAACTTCATCCAGGATGTTTCTTTACATTTTAAGTTGGATTTCTATGATATTCCATGTCATTTTCTTGACACTTGCTCTAGGTATGTTCAAGGAATTTCTGAAGATCCGTTACCGGCGGAGTCGCCTTTTGCAAGGGTGTTTTTTTTATTTATACATGTGCCTTTTAATTTTGGCGTAGCTGCTGCTCTTTTCTACTTGGCCGAGCTTGTTGAGGAATACACAGTCATAACAGCAAAAGTGATTAAGTGTACTATTGCGGTAAGTATTATTAAGCTAAATCAATCAGTCAACTTTAAATAATTCAGGCATGTCAGCGCGTTTGCAACTGGGGTGCCTATTTGCACCTGTAAGCGTTAGACAGGTAACTTGCAGATCGTGTACGTAGGGTTGCCGCTTGCGTTGTGAACGGTTAATTTTTACTTTTTAAGGCGGATTGCATAAACATGTACTATCAGTGCTTTGTTGGTACTGTTTATCTGAAGGCCATTGTTTCAAGCAAACCCTTTTACTGAAGTATTGAGCACTGCAAAAACCCTACCTTTACCTACAGCACATTCCTGTGAAGGGCACATACCGTGAGACTACATAGCTTAAGTAGTAATTACTTATGCCAAATGATGTAGTCCCATGGCAATTAATCTATAACTGTGCATCCCTGTATCTCAAGGCTTTTCCAGGGTAGGGCAGGGCTGTCATTAAGAGCTGGGGCCTGGGGATTTCCCGCGGCTACCTTGAACGTGGTCCCCAGCTACTTTCACAGGAAAATAGAACAATAATAAAACCAAAAGAAATCACCACCCATTTGATTCCCTGCCTGCTTGTTGTACAGTGTATTTGCCCAGCAACTTGAAATCTTAGTGACATCCTTTACCATAATTATTATTATGGTACCACCCTATCCCTTGTGATACAGGAATGCACAGTGATGAATTCCAGCCATCCTCACCATTTATTCCTAATGCTAATTTAAAGTCCCTTTTCTTTGAAATCATCACATACAGCTCCTTAAATTTCTACTTGTAACAATGGTGTGATGCGACAGCTAAGGATAGATTATTATTCATAGTGAAATATACATCATGTACTCTGTAGAGGGTGTATATTAAGGTATTTTTTCCACATAATAGACCTTTTGTGTTGCATAATGTGACCTCCTTTTTTTGCATTCTATTAGAAGGCCTGCTGTGAGCAGAATTCACTTTGTGATACACTTTAGGCTAATAAATACTTGAAGCAGTAATGGTTCTTTGCTTTGTACACACTTTAACTTATAACATAGTGCGCGTGCTTGCCCTATATAAGTCCTATTGAGCCGCTATGAACAAAATCTTTATTTACGCACGCCCGTGCGTAAATAAGATGACGTGAGTATTTTTTTTTACCTGGCTGCAAAGTTGTCGCAGTACACTTTTCCTTGTCTTTAAAATATGGAAGAAACCAGCGAAAAACTGCTCAATTTTTCTATCGGCATTGACCTTTTAGGTCCTGATCCAACAAGCAGCAAAAATAAAGCCGAATTAAAAAAAAAATCGCAAGTTGCGCGTTTTGCAAATTTGTCGAAGACCAGCTGCTGCAAATTTTGGCAGAAAGACATTCACTGGGAACAGAACAGACACCAACTGGTCATCCAACATTTAAAGGCAAAATTTCCGTTTTTATTGTTGTTTTTAAATTTGTTATGCACTTTGTTATCTCCAGACAATCCGACTGAAGCAGGAAAATTTCCCTCGCAATATTAATAACAACACAAATTACACAAGAAGACGTAAATTTATTACTCACAAAAACAACTGCTGCCAGGTCTTCTCAAGAAGCCATAACGACTTCTCACGAACATCAAGAAGCTAGAGCTGCACTCGGCTATCGCCTCGTGCAACTCTTACGCATCTTTCGTGCTCTCCAAACTTCCCGCGTGCATCCATAACTCGATATACGCACGCTAAGCATGAACAAATTCTTAATTTGTATATGATACGTTATGACAAAGTGCAATGCCAGTCTTAACCATCAGCATATGACACATTGGTCATATACAATACTCTCTGACAAAAGCTCTTATTTGCCCTGGAATTTTTTATCGCATAGTTGCTTATGAAAGCCCATTCTCGAAATGGACCAGCTCTGGAGTCAACAACTCTTAGGGAGGTAGTGTTGCTGCGTGGTCAGTGCATTGGACTCGCAATCCAGCAGTCCCTGATTCAAGTCCCACTCTGGCCACTTGCCAGATTTGTTCTTGGTCGTCCCGAGTTCAAATCCTCGGCCATGCTTGTAAATAGCCAACTGGTTGCCTCCTGCTGGTTAGGGTTTTTTATCCTGTTATGTTGTACATGTATTTGAATGGAGTGCCCGTAAAGTAGCTGGATAAGCTAAGTGCACTTTCCGCTATAAACAAGCCCTTAAACCTTTTTTTAAAACTCTTTTGAATTTCTAAGCTGGTCTCTTACAAGATCTTCAACTGTATATTTGAAATAATTCCTATTTTGTTTTGACTTTTTGAACAGGCAACAACAGTAGTGTACCTAGGGCTTCTTGTGCTGGAATCATTTCCTTTCAGTATAATTATTGCTGGGATCCTTACAAATGGACTTTACTTTCTACTACTTAAGGATTTTCCTTTTATCCAGCTGACTTCACCTGTATTTATTGGAAGTGTGGGTATGCAATGAAAGAAAAAAAAAAACATTTATGCTGTAGTTAATTATTTATCTCGGGTAATTTTTATTTTTCTTTTGTTTCAACTTCATTAGCATACATTACCATACCCAAAAACAAAAGAAAAACAAAAATTATATGACATAAAAAAATTAACTGCAGCATAAATTAATGTTTTTTTTTTCTTTTTTTTTTCTAATTAGTTCATTTTTCGATTGTATTGTTGTATGATAAAATACATTGAGTTTAAAATCTAGGAACATCTTGATATATTATGGACACACCATAAACACAGAGAGCTTCTAAATACTTGGAAACCTCAGACATTTGACTGAAAAGACTCCTATTATTTTTTGTATCTTGCTACTGCAGAATTATGACAGACACTATTTTAAGTCTCAGCAATGTAGTTTTTATCAGCATTTCCCTGTACCATACATTTAACAACTGCATCGCTAAAATGGAGGTTGGGTGCCTGAAGTATCCAGGGGCTTCCACTATTGGCAGCCAGCCCCTAGATTGAAATAATGCCCCCAAGACTGGCACAACAGCGTAAGCCAGCCAAGAGCCCCCACACCAAAGGAAAGGAACAGGCACCGTCACACTGAAAAAACAGCAGTGGAGAAAAACCCAACAAGCCTAGTGGGAGGGCGGGAGGGGAAGAAAATGGGCGACAGAACCCAGCACGAAGGGAAAACTGAACGTGCCAAGGAATCACATGATCGATGTAGTCAGCCACCGGGCATGCGCATGCCAAAGACCGCTGACCTAGGCACCCAGGCGCTCTTAGTTGTTAACATTCATGTTACATGTACCTGAAAATGCCACTAAACTAACCTTTGTAACTCAACTGTTTTGTCAGGCCAGGCTCCCAAAAGGTCCCGTCCAGTACCATTAGTCTGGGAAAAGAAGATTTTCTTGCTGGGCAAGTAACTTTTAACCCTATAAGCCTTAAGAGTGATTGGCATCAAATTTCTCCTTGTAGTATTGATGCTTTGTACATAAAACAGAGTGAAGATGAGAATTACGGACAAGATCACACATGATGAATTTGCTTGATAATTTATCAACTTCTCCCCACTACCTCTGTAGGAAATGAATAAGGGTGACAAATGAGAATTCAGATGTTGATCTTAAGGTTTAAAGGGTTAAAGCTTACTTGACCAATGGGCATGGCTGCAGACAAATAATTATCCTTCAACAAAATCATTAATATGAGCATGAAGTGGCCCCTGGCAACCAAAATGTGAGAGTAATCTCATACCCAGATCTCTTGTTTACAAAGCCGAAGGCAAGATCTGGGCAAGAAAGAAAATTCAGTTTTTTTTATTGGCTAGATTGTGAGTGAATGATGTGAGTGTTGTCTCCTGCATACGCTATAGCTTGTGCAATTCATTCTTTGCAAAGTCTTCAGTTATGTTCAAATAAATATTTTCACTTAAGAAGTAGTTTTCTGTCTCAATATAACTTGTAACATGGTTTTTATCTCATCTTTAAAGACTATTTAAAACTCTCTCTTGGTATCAAAATTAAGACTTTTGAAAAGGGGAAAAAAATTCTTGCGTAAAGAAGATATGCACTGCTTTGAGCTTTTAGCGTGCACTATGGTAATTAAATTTAAAACTAGTTGAACCAATTGTATTGTCACTGTAAAAAAAAACAAAACAAAAAAAACCAAAAAAAAATGAATATGTTGTTCACAAGTCGACCGCTGTAATAACTTTTGTTCCTGTTAGGTCAAATTACAGCTGTACACAAATTGTATTGCCTCAAATTTCACCAAAATTTATTGTTTCTCTTTAGTAAACAGTTTGCTCTAATAATTTGTGTTGACAATATTTATAATATTATTATAAATGTTTGTTGTAATTTCAGCCATGGTGTTTGTTAATCATTACTTGGCATTTGACTTCTTCTCATCTGTTTGGTATCCATTTTCAGAGGTACAGTTTTTGTTTGTTGCATTTTTATGTGTGCTTTTTCTTTTGCAAGCAGAAATGTTAGTGGACATACACAAGAGCTTGTATCCCTACAACTTTCCCCTTCTTTGCACTAAGTGGGATACACTGAAGAAAAAAAGGGTTTTTGTTGGGGAGCAAAGGTGGTGCCTACCACCAATGTGGCCCAGGTTTGAACCCCCGCATCGACACCATACATGGGTTGAATTTGTTGTTGGTTCTCTCCCTTGCGTGAGTTGGAGAGGCTTTTCTCCAGGTATTCCGGTTTTCCCCTCTTCTTAAAAACCAACACTTCCAAATGCAAATTTGATCTGCAACCCACAGACACCTTTCAAAGAGTTCTTAAGAACTTCCATAAGTGCTCTGCAGGTAAACAAATAATACAATTTACAAATTACCTCATCATGATGCTAAAATAACAAACTGGTTAAATTTCATACAACATGATGCAGAGACAATAGTTATACATTTTAGGACGAGGTTTTTTCCCTACAAAATTGACATAACCTTTCAAATTATTATTTTTGAAAGTTCTGATTGGCCTAAGAGACCATTCTGTCACCTGCTGTTAAATGCAGATGGAGAGCAATAATAATTATTATTATTCATCTGCAGTTATCCTGTCTGAATGAATTAGAAACCCAGGAAAGGGGACTTCAGGGAGTTAAAATCTAAAAAGTTTCCTGGGGGAGCATGCCTCTCTGGACCCTCCTAGAAACTTGCCCCCAGTCAGTGCTCGAAACTAACTTTTTTAGTCAGTTGTCCTGGGACTAGTGTCTACTAGTCCTGAAGGCAGTTCTACTAGTCCTGTCTACCATCTATCATCTGGCCACAAACATCTAATTGACACATTAAAAACCATAGTAAAGCATGACTCACTTTTTTAATTATAATAATAAACACTAATGAAAAGTATAATCTTTTATCTTGAGTTTCTTTGGCTATAGGAAATTATTTATTGCTTCCTTTGCGGAAAGACGAATTTTCGTTTTTACTGTTTGGAAAATTTACACAATACTGGCAAAACATTTTCCCTTCGGTTTCATTGTAAACTATAAACCACACAAAATCTTTTTCCAAGCTTGTTTGAAGTCTCTATCCTTCTTTGCCTTTTTCACTCTTTTGGCTGGGAATCACCTGTATTAGCGTTTTCTTCATCTTTCCTTTCTTCATCTTCCCTGCCCCTTTTGAAATAGCACAACAAAGTCTCAGCGCCATGCCATTTTCACGATGTTTTTCGGAGTTGCATGATGTTCGCATGACGTTCAGTTTGCAGTGGAGTCGACTGAGAGTGGACTGAGAACCAAACCTGGCCCATTCCCTCACTGTTTTCAAAATGGTGATTGTAAATGCGGAAATTATGAGCGTAAACAAGGTGATTGAAAGAACAATTTTATAATATTACATGCTGATTTAACAAATGTGAAACCAAGATCCACAGGCTAAAGCTTCCACTCGTCCATGAGAACGACTAACTTAAAATTCTACTCGTTTTTTAGCTAATGTTACTCGTTTTAGACGAGTGAACGACCGTTAGTTTCGAGCACTGCCAGTCAGTATTTATCCTAGATCTATGCCTGCCCCAAACCCTCTTCGTGTATCGCAGACTGTAAGTATACATGTAAACTTGCATTTACTCACAACATGGTCTGTCAAGTGTTTGTGCCACAAACTTGTAAATAAATATGTTCATATGTACATGGTTTTTTAAATCTGTAATATTGACCCTATAATACCTGTATGAGAATAAAGGGCATTAAAGCAGTTCTCGGGATAAACGAATCTCTAATAACCCTAACAGATTATGTGCTTGCATTTTGTTTCAGATCTTAGCTTATTTCACAATTTGTTTATGGATTCTGCCATTTGCTTTCTTTGTTTCCTTATCTGCAAGTGAGAATGTACTACCTACATCATCATCAGCAACTGAGGACACAAAAGGTACTAAACTGTCATCAGGGAGGTTATGAAAACAGAAAAAAAGTTTAAAAAAAGGGAAATAATGAATACAACGTATGTGAAAATTAAGTTATATAGGATTATGTATGCCACTTGCATATCTTCCAAAATGCAACTTATTTGCCCCCCAAAATTTTGCATAACCATTGTTTTCAATTTCTCTTGGGATGGCTGTAGTACCCAGGAGAAATGAAAAACAAAGATCATGCAAAATTTTGGGGGGCAAATAAGTTGCATTATGGGAGATGTGCAAGTGCGCATAGAAACTACAGGGTGAAGAGTTTAAATGAAAAAACATCATCGTGCAGTTATAGATGCAGTTCCCGATAGAAAGCCTGAAAAAATTCAGGCTTTTATAGAATTTGAATCCTGAACTCTGCGATACTGGTGCAGCACTCTACAATTTTTTGAGTTAACAAGCCAGCTGGGAGCAAGTCGTTGAGTAGGTTTGTTATAAAGCCATGAAAGGATGCCGATGAAATTATGAATGTATGAAAATTATATATGGGAACTGCTGGGTGAAGAATTCATTGAAAAAAGATTATCAATTATAGACCCAATTGTTGCAGTTGAGAAAAGAATGCTTGAAAAAAAACAGGCTCGTGTGAGTTTTGAACCCTTGACCTCTGTGATACCGGTGCAATGCTCTTCCAATTGAACTAACAAGCCAACTGAGAGCAAGTCCACCCAAAAAGTAATTTTCCTAAGAAGTTATATTCACATTTTTTCCAATGCGATTGCTCTAACCTTACAGCTTTTGCACTAGCACGGAAACATACAGATAAGGTTTCTGTTCACACAGAACGGTGGTTTCGGGGCAATTTCTGTAACAGAGCAACGCTGCACCGTGCCGATCTCTAAGGTGGAGAGTCACATATCGAATAGGTGTTCGTGACTACATGTATAGCGGTTTGCTGTTCATGTCAGCATGAAAAGTTGTCCAGTATAGTGTGAACATAGTCAAAGACTTTGCACTGCTTTGAAAAAAAAATAGTTGATATCAGGTACCATAAAATTCCGAAAATAAGCCCTGGGGCTTATATTTTTCAAAGGCCCTTTTTGAGGGGCTTATTTTTGGAGGGGCTTATATTGGGAGGGAAATTTGTGTCTCAAAATCGAATGGGCTAGCCTTCTAGTTGGAAGTAAATTTACCGTTTTTGCTTTGTTTTACTTTGTATTTGAGGGCAATTTTCTAATTACAAGCCCCCCGGGGGCTTATATTTGGAGAGGCTTATACATGGAGGGGCTTATTTTCGGAATTTTACGGTATTAGTATAGGTAATAGCATGATTTGTAGTGATATTTGGCATAAATATCACGAGTGATATTTCAAAATTGTTATACGTAATTTCACGAGCCGCTAGGCGAGTGAAATTTGCGACAATTTTGAAATATCGCAAGAGGTATTTATGCCAAATATCACGTACAAATCATGGTATTATTTCTTTATACTACTACCCATAAAACGCTTGTAATTTTCACATGTAGGTATTTCAAATTAAGCTGAAATACTACTACTCTAAGCCAATCAAATTGCAGAAATTTCTCATGTAGTAGTATAATTATATAAACGCCAATGAAATACCAAGTAAGCTTTCGCGCGAAAACTTGATATCTTCACATGTGAAAATAACATGTTATCTTCACATGTGAAAATAATTATCATCATTGTTATGGCTTCATAATAAACCGAACCTTTCAGACCAAAAAACTATTTAAGTAAAATGGTTTGGCATTTCAATGGTGTTTATATAATAAATAGAACATTACATGGTCGCTTGGAGATACGAAATTTCTCTTCTCGTGTTTCAACACTTGAAGAGAAATTTCGTATCTCCGCGCGGCCATGTAATATCCTCTATTTAGCGGTAGGTAAAATGGTCACCACATAGGGACTCAAAAAACTGATGTATTGAGTTGAGTGGTAGCTACTTGTTGGAGAAAATCCACTTCAAATATCTAGTGACAGAAACATCATTTTTTGAGATCTTAATTTACAATGAGGAGTAAATGTATCAGACCACTTTCATACTCATTTTCTTTCTCTTCGATTTATAGAACCAGATTATGCATATCCTGGCCAGAGATCCAGTCGCAGACAGGGAATCCTAGCACTGTTTAACTTCCTGTCCAGGAAAACGGAAGGGTATCTGCCAACAAGAACAAAAACATATTAGGTTCCTCACCAATATGTTGAGGTTTTTTAAAAAAGTATAATATTATTGTTATCAGCATCTGTAAATTATAGTTGAATCCTAATACCTTGACCTGTCCAAGAAACAGGAAATTTACGGTACTTTAGCCTGTTTAGCTGATGGGATTAGTGGGCCAGTATTTTAGATTTTTAGAGGCAGAGTTGCAAGAAGACTGGGAGAAAGTTAACCCTTTAAGTCCCAATAGTGAATTTCTCCTAATGATATCCATACATTGTCATGAGATTAGGTTATGAAAATTTATAATAAAATGATCACCCAAGAGAAAATACTTTGATCTTTTATCAAATTCTCTTAACTAATTCTTAAAGGAAATGTATAGAGATCAGTTTGGAGAATTTGTATGTGGATATTGGGGCCTAAAAGGTTAACCCCTCACTCCTTCTCATCTCCCTTCTTGACGACTCTGGTACTAAGAAAGTAGGATCAATTTAGATTTCTGGGAAAGTGCCCACCTACCCCTCCCCTAAGCTAACACTAACACTTACTTCTCACTTAGGGCAAAATGATGGCTTAGGAGAGGGGTAGGTGGGCAGTTTCCCAGAAATTTAAATTGATTCAGAAAGTACCCCAGGCATAACAATACCAACAGCTATGTAGGCTAAAGGTAACTTTTGATGGAGAATTTAGGTATCAGTGAAATCCTTAGCTTGTATGTTAATGTTTTCCCAGTGCAGGCCTCAAAAAAATTTGTCCTTTGTCTTTCCTAATTTATGCGTGCATGTGAATAAGACGAAAACAGGAGACTAATTTTGAAAGAAAGATTTCTTTTTTATCACATGACATATATCATGGAAATAAAGCGTGCAAGCTGAAGAGGTCTACATGTATCGACAGCCTCGTAATACAGCCCTGGTAAACTTGTGCCACGCTCTCAGATAGAAGGGAGTGGGACGCCTGTAAAAAAAAGCCAAGTAAAAACAAGACGTGCGTGAATTTGGGAAGGAGGCGGTGGCTGGAAAAGCCCATTTTCTCGCGCGTTTTTTTTTGCATCAGTTCACGAGAAGTTTACTAAAACAGATAGTCAACTGTCCATTGATCCCGATCTACGGGCCTGTGAGAACATCGTCTCTTGGTCCCAGACCTCGTGTCTTCCCTCCGACTGACTGGGCCTACCAGAGGCAGCCCAGTAAAAAGTTGTACCATGCAGAGGGGTCACCCACCTACCAGAGCTACCCTGGGCGTGCCAATTTTTCATTTCCTTAAAATCCTAGCGAACCGTTTACACACGAAGCAAAAAGTTGGCTCCGCTAAAAGGGTGGCTCATCAAGTGTGAGATATTGGTCAATTGTGGTAGAGTCACCCTCCTAGCCAGGCCAACTTCTCTCCATAAAACACTTTGCCGCGCCCAGCCGGGTCGACTCGGTCAAGGCGAGACAATCAGAGCATGCGCGAGCACTGTCTTAAACAGTCAGAAAATGTGCGGGTGCTGTTGATTCGCGTAAAGGGATAAACCTTTTTCTCATATAAAGGCTGGCTAAAGTTGACCCGGCTGGGTGGTTGAGGGGCCTTGGAGCCTAGAACAGGCTAAGGATGGTTTGGTGACTTCATAATACACACAGCTAACTTGAACACAAAGGTTAAAGTTTCAGTGTTTGTGTTGTAAAGTCGGATTTTGTTTCTCGAGGGTGGAAATGAATTGTAGTTCATCGAGTTTGTGTTGTAAACCTGTGTATGATTTTAAGAGGTAGCTTTTCCTGTCGTTTCTTGTCCACCAGCAAGACTCGGACCTCACAATACTAGATAACATGCAGTTTATTCATTTATTGGCTAAATTATACAATGTACAGAATACTTGCGCATTGCACACCATTGCTTCGTGTACAAAGACGCAAGTGACACAATAGAGAATTCTTTCTGTTTTGTCAAATATTATGAACAGATGTTGCAGGAGAGTTTGTAGTTATTTCTGGTCTTCAAATAAACGGGTTAAAATCCATCCGCAAAAGAGAGGAAATGTTTCAGGCTGAAAGTGCAAGTTGAAATACACGTACTTCAAGTTTGATTTTGGGGAAAGTTCTCTTAAAAAGCTGTAAAACTAGGTTTTAGCAATTGGATTTTGCCACTTCTGACAGTTTTTTGTGTTTTTAGAGACCTTTGGATTCTAAGACGAGTACAAGATTTTCTCAATACTAAGTAGTCATTGCCAGTGAGGTAGCGTCAGTTTGGCGGGAAAACGTGATAGCCGTCGTCATTCTACTACAAGTTTTTAGCGAGAATGTCATAGTGGCGGGCAAGTTATCAAATGTTTGTAAATTTATCATTTTGCGATCGGGAGAGGGCTGAACCTCCTTCAATAAAAATAACAGTGATAACTTTTCTTTTGATTCAAAAGGACAATGAAGCTTTCTGAGAGTCTATTGTTTGAGAATACGCGAAAAACCTTTCAGTCAAATCTCGTACTCTTAGTCGTTCTCGTCATTGAATTTAAAGGTCTCTCTTATTTCAAGGGAAACTACCCGGTCTCAGCCTTCACCTTTCGCAAGGTAGAGGCGAGCGACTGGTAATGAGCCGCAATCGACCATGGGAAGGGTACAGACAGCAGTCTTCTTCTCACCTTCCTTTGCGCGCACGAGAGAGACGTCTGGGTACGAGGCAGACCCGGCCTGCGATTAGAGGCTTGGCGGGGGGGAGGGGGGGAGGGGTCAAAAGGCTACACACTGCGAACTTGTAGCATCTTCTCGCAGGGTGTAAGAAAACTGGGCTCATTCCCAGGAAAATAATCATTGATTGTTTGAAAGGAGCACGTGTGAGCTGCAGAGTTTTTGTCGTTACCTTAAAAACTGCGATCTGCTAAAATGGTTCAATAGCTTGTCTTTAGTACATCTGGGTCTTTTCTTGTCTTTTTTTCGATGTAATATATTTAATTGGTGCGAGGACGTCAATGTGCAAATATATAAATGAGATACTGATTAAGACCTAATGAAACCTCTGTTACTCTACGTACTCTTGGAAGTATAGAGTTAAACTTGTAGCTATCAAAGCTTTTAAGTGAAGTATTTTTTAAAACAGTGTTTTGGAATGGAAAAAAGAATTATTAAATATAGTTTATTATTGATTCAGTTAATTTAGTGTTGATGTGTTGTGCTGGTGTGAATCGGGTACTTCTGTACCCCGCGAGCAGAGGTTTTTTTCTGGCATGGCTTTTAGCATTTACGAAGTCGTTCGCGTCGCTTGTCAGTCGCTTAGTGACCACACAAAGAAACGCCAGACCAACTAGTTGTTTACCATTTTACACGGGCAAACCGGTCGGCGGTTGACAGTATGTGCAATGCAAATGGTAACAAAAATTGTATTTTACCATTTGTTTGACAAACCAGTTCCGTTTTGCTGAAAAGCGGCCGTAAAAGCTTGAAACTAGCATTAAAGGTCAAAGGCTTTTCACAAATGGAACACGAATTTCTGTTTGGAACATTCCGTCTGGACAAGATTCTCTCTTGGTCCGGAAGAACAGGACTACCATTTCAGATGTTCTGTTGCTCCCGAAACTTTCCACTGGAACGTCATGAAAAGCCGTATTCCATTTCTGCCTTTTCAACCGGACTTTCGCAAACGTTTAGTAAATGGTATACAACCGCTATTTCCATTGCGTTGGTACGGTATTAACGAGGGAAGCGCGTAGGAGATGCGCACAGGGGGAGATGAGAGGAAGGAAAAGGGGAGTGTCTTTCTTTTCCTTCTCTTTTTTCATCGTCCTCTTCCCCGAGATGCAGTAAAAGTATCCCGCGACCTTTCTGTTACTGCTGACAAATGATAAGGGACGACTGTGGACAAATCAACTATGGGATCGTTGCTCAGTGCAATTTTCGTACCCAGAGACTTCCGGCTTCTTGGTCCGCGGGACAAAATTGGGTGGGGCTATACAAGAAGGCAGTGGTAGTGGTGATGTGGAGATTGGGAAGGGGGCGGTACAAATACCCTGAATTAGAAGAGGTAATACGATCCTGCCGCTGCTCAGTAATGATGATGATGATGATGATGATGATGATTTTTTCAACAAGGAGCCTAAAGGAGTGACCTCCTTTAATTAACTCACATTCTTTCATGCAGACATTAAGCAATCAGAAGTCGAGGACGGTTTCCCGCTGGCTTCTGACTGGATTAAATCTGTGCGAAACTTGTGAATAATCGAAAGCGTTTACACTTTTCGGCTCCTTACTCCTTACTGTAACAGATTGAATGACGGAAAATCATAATCACATTGGTGATGAGTGATTATTATGTTGAGTTTATAAAAATAGTTCGATAAAAGAAATATAATTATTTCTTGGTAAAATAAGCTTACATTTAAGAATTAATCTAAGGTAGACTTATTTTTAAACATTACGTACAATTTTTAATACTTTTCGTGAAATACATCTGTAATTTTGGTCTTGTCCAATTGCTCTTTCATGATATTTTTAGTGTTTTCATCAGCACGTTTCGGTGGACAAGGTGTGGCGAAAGGTACGGAAGTGAATTTCATAAAGGAAGATGTTAGGAAATAATAAGTGCTTTCCGGTGAAACATCTACATACTTTCGCGACTTGTGATACAAATATCGACTTTTCAAGTTTTGTGGCATTGCGCCAATTTTATAACGCTTTGATTTAGAATAGCAAAGAATTATCCTGCCTCAATTTGCTGGCTTTGACTTATAAATAGAACTTTGAGATTAAATCCCGAAGCAGAAGAAGTAATCCGTTGATTTTCGGCGATGTCCTTGCCCACACAAAAGAAGCTTGCATCACGAGCAAGTCAAGCGCCATATTTACGTGTTATGTTATGCCGCCTGTCAGCTGCTCGCTTCCTGATTGGCTGAAACACAGGTGACCAGAGAATTGGCTTTTACGTCGGTGTGTACTTCGGAAGTAGTGAGTTTCGTGCTTGATATACCGACTCCGCTTCAGTGTTTCGTTAGAATGGAAGAAAACAAGGCCAAGCAAGATCCGTTTGCTGAGTATATGTGGATGGAGAACATGGATGACTTTGATCGCCAAGTAGAGGAACAGCTTCTTGAAGAAGAGTTCATCCGCACATGTATTGAACAACTACTCGAAGAAGAGGATGAACGCGAAACGCTCACCGCCGCAGAAATAATGGCCCAACAACAGCTCCAGAACCTTCAGGTCAAGAATGCAGGGCAACAGGGGACGTCCCAAGGCTTATTTCGAAACGGTTTTCAAAGTAACAGGGCATACTCGAATGGCTATACGAACGGCTTCAGCAGTTACGACCACAACGTTGTGGTAAGTTCTGGAATAGCATCTGTGTTTGAATGCTTCATTGTTGTTTTCATCGTAATTGGGGATGCATGCTTAGGGTTTGTGCATGTTATCGACGGGTAGAAAGAAAAAATTAACCCTTTCTACCAGAAAAAGTCTCTTTTCTCGGAATATTGAGCTTAAATCTGGAACATCTAGTGTACGTGAAAATGACACGGGTTAACCTTACTGTACGTGCATTTGTTTTTATTTTTCTTCTTCATCATACGGCAGAGTGAAACATGAAAATCTCTTATTTGTACTTAACTACTTTCAGTCTTGTTTTTCTCTTTTCTCACTATACAGCGAGTTTACGTTCATGATTTTGTTTTCCTTTGCATTTACGTTGTCTGCTGTATTGCGAGTGTTATAGAGAGCCAAATGTTGTCGTCACTCCTTTGTTATCTGCCAAGCACAGTGAATTGCTTTGTTTCCACCTTGCATTTTGAATCGCCAGTTCCTTTAGATGGTTGAAAGTCCTGTTTAGTCGGTGTATGCAATGTTTTCGACCTTTAAGATTGCTCAAATGTTTGCGATGCTATCATATAACTTTAATATAATCTCAATGTTCAAGTTGAGTTACATGTAAAGGTGTTGCAAGGCAAATAAAAAACTGTATTTGCTTTTGCGTACATGCAAGTCTTAATAAATTATTATTATGTTAAAGAGAATTAAGGAAGATAATTTCCGATTTAATTCAATTCTCAGCTGTACATGTATGTCTTGTCAAATGCATCTTTCGGTAGGTTTGTTGTTTTGAGAAAAGATGTTGTTACGTGTAGGCTGTATTTGGACAGGTTCAGATGGTTTTATTTTGCCCTCTCACACCGGTAGTTCCAACAAAGCAACTGCTTATATCTTTGTTTTCCGAAAATCAGAGTCCTCTTTTCAATTTTGGAAAATAATGTAGCAAAAATAACAGATGATCGTGTTTTCCTTGAAGCTGGAATCTAGAATCATTATATCAGCTGTTCAGTCGAAAACGGTGATTTTGTTAGCTAATACATCAACTTTTTTTGCCACTTAAGATAAGCAACGTGGAGTAACACCCATTGCAACCCTGCAGATTTTTGTTGACGAGTTTATTAACATAAGCAAAAAAGAGAGAGATTATTGGAAATCAAGAAAATCCAGCTACCTTACAGCAAGGCTACAAAGATTACATCTATGTGAATCTCAGTGGGTTTTGTTTTCTCTAAATAATTCATCTTTTCGGTAAATAGATTGATTTTCTTGAATAGAACAGTTCAATGAAGAGAAGTAATTCCATAAACCGTGTTGCTTTCATGCTGTTAGTTTTTGTAAACACTGTTAATGTTGTGCACCTAATCTTTGTACCTTACAATGTACATGTATATGGAGTTGCAAGTTTCTTATAAGCTTGCTGATATGAAGGGACTGGAGGACCTGTTGCTAGAAAGGAGTTTTACTCCTTTTCTTGGTACATGTAGCTGCGTAGTATTTTGCTCTTATATCAAACCATTGATGAATGTCTAATGGGCTTGCTGTATTTGCAACTTCCCTCAGGCGTGGCCATTTTCTCAGGCCTCGCATTGTACTGATCATGTACTTTAGAAGAAAATGTGAGGGAATTTTTGTGGTAGTGCCCCTAAATTTACAGTTGTATGTGTTAATTTCACCTATTTGACCAGCTGATGCAGAAATAAAAGCACTGGAGACTAAAAGATTAAAAAACTGAACAAACAATTGTCATGAAAGATATTGTTCATCTTGGATAATGTGTATAAAGGGTTTCGTTTATCATTTGTCGCGGTTAGGTTTATTGACTGAGACCCTCACTGGTACTCTCTTAGAGTTAACGAGGCTATTCACACAAGACTTGACCCTATCAACAGGGACAGTGGAATTGAGATTCCTGAAGCGTGGATGCCTACGATCAGACAAAATAGTAGCCAATCGCTACCACAACAGACCGCTGAGGGAACAGTTCCCTCCTCTAATAATGCCAACAATGCCTTGGATTGAAACCCACCAACCATGAGCGAGGTTCATGATACACCAATCACTAACAATCATGGTGGTATAAATAAATAATGCAAAGCCGAAAACACAACTGTCTCACATGTATGTCGAGTCTTATGTCGATTTTTCTATTCTTGCCAGAATTGCCTGAATTTCGTTTATGACCTTTGATGCAGTAGAAAAACATTGCCCTGTATTTTTGTTGGCCATTTTCCCCTAATTTTTGTAGAAATAACGTATGCAAACCTCATGTCGGCCTTCTTTTACTCAGTAAATCGATACTATTGTCTGATGAAGAGGTGCAGTACATGGTTAAAACATCGCGATCTATATCTTTGTGACAATTGTGTGACAAATGATAAACAAAACCCTCTATAAAATAATTGTCCCTGCAATGATGTCATCCAGAAGGCGTCCTTGTAGCTTGCACATATTTGAAGAAGTACTTATGGTTAAAATACGACAGTCAAACCTTTCATAAGAAACCACCAAAAATGCAAAGTTACTGGTCGCTTGTTAGCTTATGAGAATGGAACCCCAAGGGATCTCTTCCCTGAAGAGGACCGTGATTTTCACTGGGAAGATTTTGGTGTTTTGGATAGGTGTTTGCTTGTGGAAGGTGGTTTCTTACGAAGTAGGTAATGACAACTTAAAAGAGCTTGCAAAAAAAGTCAAAGCTGATAGCCTGGAACTAGTGGAAGTCCTTTACCATTGGGCTAGTTAGTTCTGTTCTTATCTTGTTTGATGGGAAAGTGAAGTTGTTTGGGGGAATTCCCCATTAGAATTACATTTAGAGAAAATGTTTAAATTCCTAAAAAGGCACTCATGTGGATTGAAAGCTGTTTTCATGCTTATTTGATGAAGTGGAATTGTGACATTATTTTATTTTATTATTTTTATAACAATGAATAAAGCAAGTAATGAATGAACTAATGGTAAAATTGATTAATGGATAGTAATAAATTGATGCTGTTAACTGTGCTGGGCAGGGGATTATCTTGATTGTCGTTTAAGTTTGCACAGAGATTGGTCTGGAGAATTTGTATGTGGATACTTTGGGGCGTGAAGGGTTAAAGTGAACTGGTACAGTGTGACAATGTAAAATGTGCATGAGAAATTTAAAAAAAAAGATTACCACTTCTAATCAAATCTTCTGCTATAGGTTTCAAAATCAAAGCTGCTTTAATCAACCTACATGTACATGTAAATCAGTGTATGGAATCTTCCATTCCCTGCATCTATCTCACCTACTGTATAGAAAAGATGTCAAAAATCTTCATAATGAATAGGTACATGTTTTTAATATTTTAAAGATCCAGCTAAGCACATGGCAAGGATGCTTGATCACAGCTTCAACACGTATTCTTTATCTATAAAACACTGGCAAAAACTTTGATACCATACAGCAGTTTCATTAATGATTGTTCAGTCCAACATTCAGTAATAATATTTTAAAAATATATAAACACTTGAGCTCTTCACAGAGGGCGCAGCTACAGCTGGGGTACATAGAACAGTTATTTTCTGGCTAGTCCACAAGTGTTGTTGTTACCCTATATGTACTAGGTGAATACACTCTTTTTTATATTAAGAATGTTGTTTTTTCATGCCAGGCTGAATATTCTCATTTTCTGCCGATTTTAGCCTGAAAATATTCTTGTATTATTGTTGAATCATAATTGAAAAAGAAAGAATTTATCATAGACTTTTTGCGGTTTGTTCATTTTTTTTTATTTGTACACTATAAGATTATGTATCTCACGTACCGTTCATCGAACTGTCATTAGCACTGAACATTTGGCTATAACTAATTCAGGTTTGTTCATTTTGTTGGGTAGTTTTGCTGTGAGAGGAAGCAATAATTTGATATGGTTACCTTAAAAACATATTTTTCATATTTCTCAATATTCATCCTTTTCGAACTCTCAGCCTCGGCTTTATTCTTAACATATTCTTAACATTTTGCAAATTTCAGCCTCGATTTTCTTATAAAATGGATTCTTAAAGAAAAAAAGAGTGCAATTCAAAATTGAAAAATCCTTTGGCATATAAAAACACCCTTTTGTAGATACATGTTATCTTACATTTGAAATGGTGGCATTTATACAGGAAGTGACAAAGTGGGCATTTCATCTAACAGTGGGTACAGTGTACCAGTAGAATATATGGGAAATCAAATAGAGTCTAGAATTAAAGGGGCTATGTCAGCTGGAGAGCATGCGCTCTGAGGTTATGCAAATTACTTTCAACTGTCAAAATTCTATTGTTTTTAACGCATGACTTTCTTCATGTTCTCTGTCACGTCCAAGGTTCCGAATTTAGAGAGGTTTAGCGAAATGGGTTTAGATAAGGGATATTTCGATAGAATTTATGGAACGTTTCTTCTCTGGTTATGCTAGATCAAGAATAAAATTGTGACGACAATTTTACTTTTAGTTTTTAAGTAAAAACGCATACCATTCATTAGCCTGCGTGGCAGGCGTTCGAAAAGGAAGGGGAAGGGAATTAGAGCGCGAGACCACGCGCGAGGGAGGAGGGAGGAGGGGAACGCCTGCAAGGAAGCCATTGTTTTTGCCATCCCGCCTACTAATTAAAAAAATAACAAAAATAACGCAACTGTGAATAACTAGCTGTCAAATAAGTCTGGCCGCGATGCACGTATTCTAGTCGTATTTCTCGCACTGTTTTTCTTTTGTTTTCCTAAAGCAATCTAAAGTAAAGGTACTATAAAAAAAGTCCAAATGCGGTCGTCCTTCAAAGGGATCTTACTTGAAAGTTGCAACGACGCGTGCCGAGTTACATAAAATCTCCAGCATAAATCTATTCAAGTTGTTGCTGAAGGATTCGGGTTGGAAAATTATTTCATAAGAAATGTAGCGTCTCTTTGCAACTTTCAATGCAATGTTTGTCTAAGAAAAATTAAAACACTTTGCCGTCACGCACTCTTTGAATTTCTATCAGGACGAATTGGATCCAGTGGAGCACACAAAAGAACGCTGGTGGCGGGAAAGAAGAGCTGAATCAAGATCTGCAAGAACGCAACAATTCATTATTAAAGTAAGTTCCTGGCGGTTTTATAACCTGCAAGAAGAAGTCCTCGACCAAAAATCGCCAAAAGTTATAGATCGTTTCGTCTTCAATTATCTTGCCGTTGATAACGCGGGTCAAACAGCAGATAACAAGCACACAGGCAGCATGATTTTTCCTTTCTTTCTTCTGGCGAGTAAAACCGACAAGCCGTTGGGAGATAATGCTTTTCAGAACCAGCCAATAAAACTCATCTGCTGACAGGCCTTTTCCTTCATACGCTTCTTTGACTGTTTTTTTTTTTCTATTCTCCTTTGAAGCTGAAATTGATGCCTTCTAACGATGAATTCCCGTAGAGAAATCTCAACACGCTTCACTAACGACACATGTTTAGTTGTGAATGGCAACACTCAAGTTACTGAATGACATGTAGATGACCAATTAGAACACGCTATTCAGATCTTATCAAATTTTGACCAATCAGGATTTTAACATTCGCCTGGTAGATGTTAAAAACGCGAAAAACAATGGTTTCCTGGCAGGCGTTTCCCTCCCTCCTTCCTCGCGCGCCCCTCGCGTTTCTCTCGCGCCTAAAACTCCCTTTCCAAAAACTGCCTTTCCCTTCCCTTTTAAAAGCCTGCCACGCAGGCTAACCATTCATAAAATAGAGCGCAAACAAAAATTCAACAATAACATATTGTCTTATTCAACAAAATAAATGGAAGTTGTATTTTACAAACGAGCTACAAAAGACGCTAGACCAAAGATAAAGACCAAGACTGTTTCAAATCATTAACAATTAGACTTGTCTGTCGCTATTGATTTTATAATTTAGATGCTGATAGAACAAGAGACCAAGTCTTTGTTTTGATCTTAGGGAAACATACATTATCGTGCAAAATTGTTCGATTGTGCCGAATCACTGCGACGTCGAGAAAAACAGAACCCAGCATCATTGGTATACTACTCCACTATAAGCAGTCCGTTGATAAAAAGGGAAAGCAAACTCTGCTATTTTCCAAAATTATGCTCCAACACAAACAGTTCAAAAACATGGCATTTACAGTATCTAACTCGTTCTAAGGTGCCTCTCTAAGTCCGTTGAGAACAATCTGGACGAGCAAACGGTCGTGTTTATCTTTGCTGTGAATCGAGATAAATACAAGAAGGAATCTAGCCGAATTTTAGAATGTTTCCTTCGCCAGGAGTTTAGTTTCGTCACGAAACTCATGGCCTGATGCTCTTGTAATCGTTTACAAAAAACGGCCGCCGCCAACTCGATAGCCGCTTCATTATATGTCCACATACTTTGAGCACAAGAAAAATCCAAGAGCCAGCAGCCTCTAAAATAACTCAATAGAAAGGTCCTGTGAACTATAGGGAAGATTCCATCAAAGATTCCATCACTCATTGTGGAGTAGCCATCATTAACTCTGCCATTACAACGGCCGCTGATAAGAGGACACAGTAAATCCACGTAAAAACATTCCGCAGGCAAACAATTTTAAAATAACGCCAAGAAATTGTTCTGTAATCACCATAGAATGATTCTTAATACAAAACTTCGCTAACTATCGAACGATGGCTGAGATTTAGACAGATAAAAACAGCCTTCCAAAATCTCCGACACAACTTGAAAAAGTTGGGCTGTCTTTTTCAAGTTTGTTTTCATTGCCTCGCGCATGCGTGTTGGGTGACATAGCCCCTTTAATGGTGAGATCTCTGTATATGTAAAGAAGTTTTTTATAATCTTTCTGAAATGAGTTATAAGACGAAATGAAAACAAATTACAGTACTATGTATTTTGATATGTTACATGTAGACATCTACATGTAAAGTTAGGCAGTATCAAGAGAAGTTTTCAAGGTTTTTTATTTAAGCTACATGTATATTATAAAAGTAGAAAGCACAGCTGCTTATGACTGTACTGGCATGTGTGTTGCATTATTCGCCCCTTAATTTTCCTGCCAGTTCTGCTACACTTGCTTGTTTTGTTTGTTTAGAAAAGGGGTAGCATACATGTAAAGTTGAAAGATCTAGCAAGATTTCCTTGCAATTTTGTCCTGCCCATTGGCAAACTGTTGTTTTGTTGTTTTCATTGCTAATATCTGAGTGTGTGATAAAGTGATGTCGGATTTTTAAGAAATACTGCATCCAGTTCTTTGTCGGCCTTGAAGCTGTCAAGTACAAAATTTCTTGCTTTATGACAATCTGACTTTTGCAAAGTACCTGTATATTTTGGATCCTGTCAATTGATTTTTTTTGTATTTGCACACTCTATTGTGTCTTTCCATTGCCTCTGGAGGAAAACAAATTGTACAGCTGTACATCCTCTCTTGCCTGCTGCTAAAAAATTGTTTTTGATGTATCTTATTGGGTTTACCCAGTGTAAGAAC